AAATATATTTTGCAATGAGTGATTTATTCGTTACATGATATTCGTACAGATAGTGTATTGCGAATGAATAATGGAGCACAGTTTCAAAATTGTTGCAGAACGTTAAATGCGGAAAAAGACGCCTTCAGAAGCTGTAAAATAAAACGAGAGTTTAGTGAAAATAAAACGCCTGTGTAAAAAATACCATAGATTGAATTTTAATTTAAAAGCTAACATTGCCGTAAGATTCCAGAGACAATGTCACCAAAAAACTGCTGGTAAGTTTAACGGGTTTTGCGCTACGTTTCATAATCATCAGTAGATTCTTTTGTTCGCTGACTGTCATTAACATCCAGTCCATATGATACACCACTTCGCTCAATCCAGTACTCTACGTAAGTAAAAATTAGAATAAATGAATGGAATAATGAAAGAAACAAAAAAGCATATTTGCGAAGGTCTTGCAGAGTTCTTATTTTGCCATAATAATACTATATTCCAAATACATGTCTCTTTATAGCAGCCATAACTACCTTGAGCATAACTTCATTTCCAGCCCAGCAATAAAAAAAAATCTGCAAAAACATGCAGAATGTGAAGACGATCATGGTGGCGAAGTCTGTAAATGTCAAATGAGAAGATAGATAGTACACAACTGAACACAGTACCAAAATACTGATGAAAAATTGAATGAAAATCACTTGGCGATACACGTCGTTGATCATTTCGGCAAGTCTGTAAATATATTTACACATTATATATCACAATCACAAACAACAGATGGAAATATACACTGTATGTTACATCGTACACGTATACAGCGAAAATTATTTAACACATTTAATTTAAAAAATACACATGTGTTATATAAATAAATTTATTATCTACCTGATTATGCACAAATGATGAGAAATGTGCTCCGACAATATGCCTGTTTCACGCGACGCATTATTCAACGAACTTTTCGGAAATATTTCTTCCTCCCTACGCTTTGTCATGTTCTGAAGGCGATACTTGAGAATTTCAAATTGCGCGCATGTTTGTAAGCAAAATCCTAACCATATGGTTTCCGTCGCGACGTTTACAATTGTACAAAGAATTACAGCTAGAATATTTTGAAGGGACGTAAACCAGAATGAAAGGAACGAGGTGCAATCCCAAGGCACCCACATGTTATAGGGTAACTGACCCTCTAAAACGTCGAGCACTCCTGCCGCCACACCACCCAGTGCCGAGAACGTACATAAGAGTATGTAATATATGGTATACGATCTGCATTAAAAAAAATATATATTAGAAATATATAATAATCGAAACATGTTATTATCGTACAAGGATGGTACAAAAGGCTGTTTTGAAATTACATAGATTGACAATCCTGATGCTTAATAAATGAGGCGAGAGGGATATCAGTCGTTGCACGTGCTTTAAATAGCTCTGTTAATATTGGTGAAACGCACAAAACGCGCATATGCTTGAGAAAATTAATTTAGTTTAATTGTGTAATTAAGATTCTCTAGCTTAATTGATTTATTCGTGTATAGCTTACCGACTTACTTATTAAGACTGACATTGTCGAAAGTCGCGTCGACAATTATTATTGATATACCAACCTGATTGAACGGTCAAATTTGATCTGGATATCAGTCTCATCTTCGTTACAGGCTTTACACGGTTTCTCTTGCAGAGTTTCGACTAAATTGATTATCTCGCCGCGATAGATTACAGCAGTAATCACTTTGGACAATATAATGATTGAGCAGAAGAAAAATGGGGGATCCGACGCGAAATCCTCCACGTTATCGATAACAAAAATGATATACAGCAAGTGAGCCAGCATGAAATACGCCAATAGATATATCGTGAAAAAAGTGTACACGCTGTATAACAACTTGGAGTATTTCGAGGACCATTCGATTGGTCGCCACAAACCGCTTATGGTATATAATAAGAAATTGAGAGAGAGTATCTGCATTTCTACACTTGCTATAATTAAAAGTAATAGATTCTTGTATTCATTGAAAAAAATAATCTCTATCGTAAATAGTACGTGACATTGCAACAGATCCATTACCGTAAGTGTTCTTTCTTTAAGAATGATCAGTTATATTCTTTAAATATAAAAAAGATTATTTTGTAAAAATATTTTTCTAAACTTAATGCTTTCAGTATGTATTTTTCTGCAGCACGATCTTGTGTAAAAACCTTATGATTAACTATTAACTTTCATAGCAAAACGGCGTATAACTACAATTTGTATATGTATCGGTAAAAATAACTAATACACAACAATGCAGTATAAACGCGACAAGCATTCGTAAGACACTACGAATAGGCGTGTTTGCGTCGACTTCGTCATCCCTGTACGACTTGAAATTAATGATTCATTAGTAACTTGGTGCGGCATCTTGTCGATACCTTACTACCGGTATCAGACTTATAATTATAACGACGTCGTCGTTTGAAGAATGTTATCCCCTCCGATAAATTCCAACATATTGTCATGTTCCCAGAAAATAAAATACACTTTTATGCAAGCGTAAAACTTTCACAAATAACAGCGTTAACGGTGAATACTTGACTGACAGATCAACTCACATTTTTTTGCAGCATCTTTGCACGCACTTTTCAGAGCAAACTTATACCTTTCAATTAGTGCAATATGATATTTATTTCCTGAAAATAACTTGTTTGGTCGCGGAAAAGATTTTTTTAATTTCGAATACAATATAACATCTAATACTGCGTCAGAGACAATAAAGTTTTACCTGTACAATATTATATATATAAAATATATAATAACATATAATAACATGTACAATAATATCTTACAGAGGCTAAGACAAAGGAATCATGATTATTATATAGAAGAGAAAGTTGCCAGTTAATTTTCAGCGGCTTATTCTCCGACGTTACATTTCTCCATAGTCATTAAATGCGGTCATTAATAAATCTACATTACGACGTCGCAAGAACGGACGATATTCACCGCAAGTATAATTATATATCTCTATAACACGTGTATACCTTGTCGCACAACATCAGTCTAAAAGCAAATGTCTATCCGTCTATATCGATAAGTCGCCGTTTTTCTCGCTCGTTGTGGAAAGTTTATTTCGTCCCGAAATAAATAAATATTCAGTATCGAGATCTCTCGGTTTTCTGCATGTTCTCTCGGTGGTGCTCATTCACAGTTACATTCCAGTTCGCCGAATCTTAAACGTGAATTGTTTGATAATGGTTTCATTACGAGAAGGCCCTTTAAGGGACGAAGCGGAGGAGGCGGTTGATCGTTTCAAGGTAAATCACATCGACCGTGAGCGAAGTCTCTTTCTCAGAAATTCCAAGTTCGGGCACTCCTCTCTCTCTCTCTCTCTCTCTCTCTCCCCTCTCCTCTCCTCTCCTCTCCTCTCCTCTCCTCTCGCCTTTCTTATTTTACTCGCTACGTCGCGTCACCCGCGATGCCTCGGGTGACACACTTCTCGCCGAGGCTGCTTTTTTTTCGATGTATTTCACCTTCCGCTCGCGAGTTCAACGATCCATCCGAAACCGCGATCCGCGCCTCCGGTAGGCAGGCAGGCAGGCAAGCAAGCAAGCACCGCTAGTAGGACACCGTCCTCAATAGCACGTCGAAAGTACGTGTGGTGGACGTCAGTGATCTTACGAATGCTCTCTATCGACCTGTACACCATCTCTGTGGTGGTGCCCTCGGCGCACAGATAGACAGGCGGCTCATTATATTCGAAAATATAGCGCCTAGAGCTGACGCGAAATCGCCCGTAACAGCGGCTCGTGGATGGGTGGGTGGATGGGTGGATAAGTCGGTCGGTCGGTCGGTCGGTTCGTGTGCCAAACATCAAGAACGAAAACCTCTTCACCTCAATTAACACCGCTGCTGGTAGTGGTGACGGCGGTTGGTAGTGGTAAAGGACGGTAGTAGTGGTTCGTAATCGGTAGCCGCGCACGCGAGTTTCATACGTACTCGGCCTCTTTACGTGTAAAGCGCCGTGAGATCGCGAAATTGGTCCGCGATGCGCAAAGAGCGTCGACAATTGCTGGAATTATTGTTATTATTGGAATCTGCATTGTAATTCGCGCGTCCGAACAAAAAAGCAAGTTGTATTAAAAGCAAGTTGTATTAATGACGCGCGGAAAAAAATGATATCCCTTTTAATTAACGCACCTCGCCGATTTTCTTACCAATCTATCGCACGTTTAGGAAGTAATTTCCTCATTATCTGTAAAACATATTATAAATACCCGCTTAAGGTAGTGATAAAGAATTTAACGTGAAGCGTATTTCTCGAGAGGTACAATTGACTTTTTGCCGAGCTACTTTTACGAGGGCCTCTTTATCAATATCTGTCAAAGCTCATTCGCTAACTGGTTCATAGAGAGTCGGACGTTTCTTGCGGCTTTTACGGGGTCACGCGTTTCGCACTTTTGTACTCGACACGGTCGCCGTGCGAAAACTCGCGCGTTCCCGCGGGAGAACGAGAGCGAGAGCGAGAGAGAGAGAGAGAGATTTCCAGATATCAACGCTAAATGCATCCCGCACGCTAAATGTGCGCGAAATAACAATTCGCCGCGATACGCTTGACGGCGTTGCTCATTGTGTGCCACACGGTGTGCCGTCGACGGTGTGGTAGTAGTCGAGAGATGAGACAGTAAACGGGCTGTCTCCTAGCTGGGACACATTGTGCCCCAGTGGTTGGTCTACAACGGCGAGCAGACAGCGGCAGATACCGGAGCGACGGAGGAAGTGGGTTTCATTAGTAGTGGTGGTGGCGTCGGCGGTGGTGGTGCTCTGCTGGGTGCTCGAGTGCCTGGTGCTGGTGCTGGTGCTGGTGCTGGTGCTGGTACTGGCCCCGGTACTGGTATTGGTACTGATATTGGTACCGGTTACTGCCTCACTGCCTACTGCCTACCGCTGCTCGGTTGTACCGCTTTTACTGGCGCTTGTTGGCCGCTCGCTGGTGGTGGTAGTGTGAGCGCGCGGCATATCTCGCTTCTCTCTTTTGTAAGTTCACAGTATCATCACACATCTCTCCGCCGCTACTCTTACTCCGAGCCGAGATCTACCAACACCTTCCTCGCTCGCGCTCCTCGGTACCGCTGGTACCGCGGCTGGCCTTCGGGACCTTTGGTCTCGCAGCCCGTTTACCTCTTCTCCTCCTCTTCCTCCTCCTCTCTCACTCTCTCTTTCTTTTTCTTTCTCTGTTGTGTTCCGCTCTCGCTCTCGCTTAGCTTTTCCTCCCGATTTTTTCCCCCTTTTCCTTTTCCTTTCGTTTTCTTCCCTCATCGCGACTTCCGCAAATGCCGTCCGTCAACTCGTCCGCCGTCCGCGCGCCAACGTGACCGCGCGTACGACCGAAGAAAAAGAAAAAAGTGCGCGTGCCCTCCTCACCGGTGACCGTGTCCCCCACATATTAAACGACTCGACACTGGAAGTAACGGAAGAAAAAATCAGCCTCGAAAAAAAACGTCACGTCGCGCTTACGTACACTGCCTCGCGTGTCGCTTTCGCGAATAGTTTTCAACGCGCGCACGACGCTGATTTTGCGATCGGATTCCACGAATTCCACGGTGCGATCTCTCCGTCGCTGACATCTACTCAATCAGGTAACGTAAACTTTTTTAGTGACAACAAAGTTTCACATAATTAAGTACAAGCGTGATATTATATATATAATATTAAGTATTGTATATTTGCAATGAGAATTAAATATAAAAAGAAGATAATAAATCATATTTCTCACATTACATTACATGCATACCTTCGACGCACGAAGATTACAATGTTTTCATTGAAAATGTGTAAAATATTGAATCTCGCGGTATTACTTAAATAATGATAGTCTTAATTTGAAAAACTGTCTAATTCTTGATTTTAGAGAATTCCTAAAAAATTGTAAAGAAATTTTAAAGAAATTCTTAATTTTGAAGAACGTCTAATTTTCAACAACGTCTCGTCCATCCTCAAGTGCAATTATCGATATGTATTGCGATATGACATTGTTGCAGAATGTATCGCGCGCTATTTTTTCTCGTCTTCGTTTACGGGAGCATTCACGGAATGCAATTCCACAACAAGGGAGACGTACCTCGGCTGTACCATCCACGTTTCCTAACGTACGAGGAGCCGTACAACATCGAGTTCAAGTATCACAATTACGATCAGATGAGCCGCTTTCTTCGCGCGACGTCCCTTCGATTTCAAAATCTCACCGCATTGTACTCGATAGGAAAGTCGGTGAAAGGTAACGTTATCCTCTCTCACGACGTTACAGACGTCTGAGAGCACGATAAGCCTAAAAGAAAACACGTTGGACGTTCGTGCGGTGTTTTCGTTTATATACGTTTTTAACATTCGAGTTTACATTTTATAAAAGTGGAAGAGAGAAGCGGAGTGTTATAATCAAGCGATTACTCTCGTACGACAGGTCGTGATTTGTGGGTGATGGTCGTGTCGTCCTCGCCTTACGAGCACATGATCGGCAAACCCGACGTAAAGTACATCGCCAACATACACGGAAACGAAGCTGTGGGACGCGAATTAATGCTACATCTCATTCATGTACGTAATTATGTCAAGCGTCGGAATTTCCACGTCACACGTTACTCGCAATGACGACCTAACACACATGCACCAGCGGTATGTCCTTTGCAATTCGGTTCGCCGCGCGTATACAATGCTTCATGAAGGGAAGATTTATTCGGACGAGAAATTTTGTCCGAAGGTAATCGTTAAAGTAACCGCAAATAACAACAATTAGATTAACTAATCAACATCGATCAATATTGACTAATCCATAAATCAATGTGAATAATAATATTAATTTCGATAATTTATTTGACAAATGATGCATGTGTTTCTTCCAGAGATATATCTCTTTTTCATTTTTTTCTCTCCTAGTTCCTCGTGACGTCATACGGATCGGACGCATATATTACGTGGTTATTGGATAATACAAGGATTCATATTCTACCGTCAATGAATCCCGATGGCTTTGAAGTCTCTAAAGAGGGACGCTGCGACGGTGGTCAAGGCAGGTTAGATGTTTGCATAAACGATTTTTACCTTTCAACTTATTTCGACGATTTCTAGTTAGAGAGTCGCGCTAATCGCGCTAACGACCGATATATTTAACGTCGAACGTTAAAATATCGCGACGAGTGACAATCTCCTTCGATATCTCTTTCGAAGGGAGAATTTTCTTTCGATTTAAACGTAAAATTAAAAATATTGCGCTCAGCGTTTCGCAAAATGGTCACAGGGCTGAGCGTTCAGGAATAGTCGTCAAGCGCGCTTACGAATACGTTAAATGGTCCCGTTTCTGCTAAAGGAGATATCTTGAAGCGTCGAGACACGTTTCGCTAAAGCCGTTTTCTTCGTTTCGCGCGGAAAAAAAAAAGAAAACTGCACCTCCCGATTCTCATCTCCACGACTCGATGTATGATTGCACAGGTATAACGCGCGTGGCTTCGACCTGAACCGCAATTTCCCGGACTACTTTAAGCAAAACAATAAGAAGAGCCAGCCGGAAACCGAGGCCGTTAAGGATTGGGTCTCGAAGATTCAGTTCGTGCTCTCGGGCAGTCTGCACGGCGGTGCGCTCGTGGCCAGCTACCCCTTCGACAACACCCCAAATTCGCGTAAGTTGAATCACCTACGTTGAAATTACCGTCTCTCTCTCGCGCGCGCGGAGCTGAAATCGTTAAAAGGCGGGCAGAGCGGCAGGCTCGCTCGATCGTCCTCGATCCGAGCCACGGAAGTCGTAAACGCTCCGCGCCGTCGTATCGCGATCGTCCTCTTTGCGAGATGTGTCTTTCCGGAAGCAAAAAGAAAAAAAAAGAACCGGGACAAACCGGAGAGGGAAAGAACGGCGTTACCATTTTTTTTCCCCCGGGTGCAATCCCTCCAGCAGACATTTCGCAAACAACCGCTCGTTTTTCAAATTCGTCAACGTAAACGTTTGTATATTAACAGACAGATCTCACAGACAGCTATGACCATAGCTGCCCGTAGCTCTGAAGCTGTCATGATAATATGTAAACTTTCATGCCGTCAGGAATATGTCGATCGGCGCCGCTATGTGCAGGTATTGTGCAATATGATTATCTTAATTTTATTATTAGAGCTCGATATGTGTATTAGCGACATTTGCTTTGACATTTACTCGCAAAGCGTAGAAACAATTTCCGAAGGTATTATATTACTCTCGATCGATTCGAATATGATGGAAAAAAATGTGATGTTGAAAAACAAAGACGGTAAGTGATAAAGTCTACGGCTTCGGTTTCACGAAGATCAATTTACGCTAAGAAAACAGCAGCTTCGCTACCGCTCGAGTAAAAACCACTGTACTTCGTAAAAACGTATGAAAGTGAAATGTAGACGCACAATTAGCTATGGCAGACACATGAAACGCGTGCTCTCTTACACAGTTTTGCTCTGATAGAGAAAAAGAAATAATGGCACAATCGAGAAAACGATTTCTCGTGTAGAGACAAAGCTGAAGGCGCCTCGACATTTTCGTTGAGAAATTAGAACCCAAAGATTTAGAAAAGAATTTAGAAGATTAGAAAAGAACGTTCGAACGAACGTTCTCTGGGACAGCTTACAGTAGATTGCACAAATCATCATGCGTACTCTCTATCTCTACGGACAGATAGTCCGACGTTTAAACAGTGACAATGTGTCTCACGTAGAGATAATAGTGTTTCAGAGTTTCACGTCGACGCCGAGCGTCTCGCCGGATGACGACGTGTTTCAACATTTATCGTTGACGTACTCTCGAAACCACGGGTCTATGTATCAGGGATTACCGTGCTCGCCGTCTCAGCCCGCATTTAAACGTGGAATTACTAACGGCGCCGAGTGGTACCCGCTTACCGGTGGAATGCAAGACTTCAACTACGTGTCGAACGGCTGTATGGAGATCACCTTGGAACTTTCTTGCTGTAAATATCCCCCGGCCGCGGATCTGCCACATTACTGGGCGGAGAATCGAGCGGTGAGTGGCTTTTGAAATAAAGATTGTACAGCTTAAAGAGAGAGAGAAAGAGAGAAGAGTGACAAGACATTTGACCCAATTCTGTCCTGATGGAAAAATGTCTCAGAATTTTAATATTATTATGTAATCAAAATTTTTGTAAAAATTTTCAGACTTTTTCAGAATTTTTTAGATTTTTTATACGAATTGAAACATTTTTCAGAAAAACTTGGGTAAAATAATAATGAAATGTTTTAGATTTTTTCTGCCAAAATACATCTTCGTAGAAATTTGAATAAATATGAAAAAATCTGCGCAATTTATTAGAAATTTTCATACATACAGATACTGATAGCGTGCATATCAAAAAAACGTCCAGAAGATATCCCGAAGATATATTTAGGAGATAGGATATCTTCGGGATATCTTTTGGACGTCTTTTTAATATGCATGCATGCAATCATTGCTATGTGGGAAAATGTTCCAAAAATCCTCATCCAATTATTTCTGAAAGTACCTGAAAAGTTTTACATATTTTTTGAGAATTTTTATGGCCTTGGTGCGCGTTCATTTTACTTTAAAATATGCGTTTCGTTTCTTTTTTGTAAAAATAATGTACATTTATCATGCTTTTAGTCTCTAATCAAATTTCTGGCGGAGGCTCACAGGGGCGTTCACGGTTTTGTGATCGATGAAAATGGCAATCCCATCGAAAGGGCTTCCGTTAAAGTGAAATCACGAGATGTAAGTTTCTCGACAACGAAATATGGCGAATTTTGGAGGATCCTCTTGCCTGGAATTTACAAGTTGGAGGTACGTTACGAGACATAATATAATATAGTCTGTCCAATAGAGATCATTGCGCATGCTAGTAGTTTGTAAAAAATGTGCGATAAAATAAGATAAATTTGTTAGAAAATTTGTGTTATTCGCCCATTATATCACGGTGAATTTGATATCACGTTTTTTTCAGGTATTTTCAAACGGATATATGCCTCGAGAGGTGGAATTCGTAGTAGTCGAACAACATCCGACGCTTCTCAATGTCACCCTTTACTCGACAAAAGTAAGTAAATTACCGTCAGCAAATGTGAAAGATCCATATTCTTTACGGCAGTTTTTAGACACGCGTGCTGTCTGAAATATATATCAACGCCGCACTTTATATATTTTAATTACTCTTACGTAATTAACGTAACATTAATTCATTATGCTTAAGCAGAGGCAGTACAACGAGGAAAATGGATCTGTTTTATATAACGGAAACATCGGTGGGAGGCCTTACCCGCACCGCGATCATACGTTACATTATCGGCCTCAATCGGGAGTTAATACCGCGCCCGACGCCAACAGCGGTATCTTCTCGTCTATCAGTAACGGATTTAACAACTTTGTGACCAATCTCTTTGGATAATCTCGTGAGACACACACACACACACGCACACAGACCCACACATACACTCGTACACGCAAACGCGCAATTATTTATTTATTCTATATTATCGTGTAAAATAAAATAAAACGGTAAGTTTAGTCTGTCCATACTTTATGGATAGTGCGTGTCGATGCAAACAAATCGTAATCCGATTAATCGGCAAAATACTGCCAAAAAATAACTGCGACTCATGTTAACGCATATTAAGTTTGATATAAAACGTTATAAAGTATTTATGTACTCGTCAGGGTGTATATTAGAAGGCGTACTTTTTATTGTATTTACAAAAATAGAGACACAACTATTTTTATTTCACGCAGTCAGTAGTATATGATATATTAAATATGCTATATATAGGAGAAATAGTTGATATAATCGTTAATTGATTCGCTTATTCCGTTTTGCGAATAAACTTGTTATTTATTGTGAAATTTTATCTCTTCTGCTTATGGTAAAGATGCTCAGGCACAAATAAAAGAAAAGAAAAAAGGGAGAAAGAAAGATAACGAATATGTTATTCCTTGAAATGCGTAATCGTCCGTACGATAGCTGCGGTCCATATCGCCGCGGCATACGCTCCAGCGTCCACTTCCGTTAAATACTGAGCTTGTTTTATATAACTGGCTCGCCCCGCTCTGTAAACAGGCGCATCGCTACATTAAATACGTTTTACTGCAAAAAAAGTAACTAAATTTTAAGTGTTGGATGAAAATTTATATTGTTTCAAATTAGATCTCTCGAAGTTTTAAAATATAGACACACTTTGAACGTTAAAGTATAAACGAATTATCCTCCATCGTAAAACTGTCGCTTCTACTCACTTTGGTTTCATATTTCTCGTAGAATAGCATCCTTCCCACGCCGCCGCGGCTATCTTATCATAAAAATCGCTCGGATCCTCTTCCTTTAACAATTTCTCATATGTCGTACATGCCGCGTACATTGTATCGATCTACAAATATGAGTTGAGATTTCTCTTATATTTTTTTATATGAGTTTTGCGTATATTCCACGATAAGTTTAATCGCCTTTGCGACAATATGGCGAACAAATCCTAATACTACAGAATACCTTTTTGCAGTATTAGTGTTGTTAATAATAATATGTATAGGTACACTTTAATAATGCAAACCATAGTTCTGTCACCGACTTTCGCTTTTCCGTATTTCTCTAAACAATTCAATCCGCTGCGGAATGCGCAAAACCAAACGCGCCGTATATCCTCCTCTTGCTCGAGTGACGCCATCGTTTTCGCGCCAGTCGTAAAAAATAAACAATACAGAGCTCCGGAAGTGCCGCCCATACGTTCCTCCGCAATATCCGCTATTTCTGATAATAATGCTGCCGGATGCGACAATGATAAATTATCTAAATTACCTAAAATACCTATGGACACGTAAAGTTAGAAAACCCATATTAATCCTCCAAATTAAGAGATACATGTGTACGCCGATATATATATGCGTACCATCGGCAAATCGTTTCAATGTCGATCCGCAGTCTCCGTCTCCGCAACCGCGGTCCAACCCGTTGAGATACGCCTCTTTCTCGATAATAGCGGCACAGGAGTCTCTCAAGCATGAATCGATCAAACGCTGATCGCGCGCGTTTAATGATATTCCTATCTTTTCTATTTTTTTCTTCTCCGAATCCTTCAACGGCGTGCTCGTTAACGTCGAAGGAATGCTATAGGCGCAGCCTGGCCAGCAAGGTGCCGTCGTTTTTTCGTCGAGACACTCGACAAATATGTCCCGATGGCTTTCGATCAACTTTAGCAGACTTATATGTATCCCGACGCTGTTTAAGGATGTCATTAAAGTACCGGAATAGACGCGAACAGGCTCTATACCCATGTTTCCTGCACCGGAGAGAAACGCAAGACCATTACAAGTGGAGTAAATAAAAGTGAAAATTGACGAGTTGAATGAAACAAATTTATGATTATCATATGTTAATTATTTCACGCAAAAAGCAAAAGAAGAAAATAATTAATAGTAGGCGTCAGTAGACATTCAATATGAAGAACTGCATCTCTCCAAATTTATAACTTTCTTTTCTTAAAGATGACGCCAGACATCATTTCATAAGAAGCTCATATATATTCATTATGTGAAGAAGAAAAACAAGGCGATAAACAAATACTCACGAAGTTGATTTACAACCTCGTAGACGACGATTCCCTGCTCCAATTGACTTAGAGCACCGAAATTATTGACTATAACCGCGACCGAGTCATTAGTGGACAAAGATAAGGTCTCGCAAATGCGTTTCAGCATTAGCGTCACCAGTTCGGATGCGGTCCTGAGCTTAATTCTCTCGTATCCTGCTTCTCCGTGCATCCCCATCCCACACTCTATCTCATCCTGCGCGAGCTCGAACATGAGACCTTGACCTGCATTCAAATGCTCTCTCAGAGTAGCACACCAGAGTGTGATTCTAAATCGCAGACGTATTCTTTGACCGAAACTGATTTTTTCTTTCGACGAAACATGTTAAAACTCGCCTGAAGAAGCATCTGATGCATAACGTGTCTTTGAAATTGAACGTCACACATATACAAATATAATATTTCTTTTAACAATATTCGATTGATATCTTTCTGTTTGGTTAAATATTATATTATCTGACAAAAAAATATATGTATATTTACTCTATACTTCTATATTAAACGTTAAAAAAGTAACTGAGCGATAATAATAAAGGAATTTCAGACATTGTCTGAATTCTGATGATCTGTCGGATAGGAGAGCAGCCACGTACAGAAGCGCTCGGCCGCGCATAATAGCACGTGTGTGTGTAATTATCGTGATTACATGGCGCAAACGTAACGGTAACATACGAGCCTCGATTGTCGCGTACCTGGTATTGCGCACGCGGACAGCCCGACTCCGTAGGTCGCGGTGCTCTGTGAAACGCGTCGCGCAATTTCCGCCACCTCGCACAGAGGAAGGCCCTTCTCGGCGAGAGCACCCGCGATTTTGATAGCGAATAGCATGCCCACCAGGCCGCGCTTACCGGCGACGCTCAGTTCGTTTTCGGGAATGCTGCAGTCGTCGTCGACGATTATTTCCTCCACCTGATCTCAATATGAGATATTATAACTTTCGAATATGTCGACACTTTAATTTAATATATCTTAATATTGTATATTTGTATCATTGTTTGCGGGTCGCAAACGAGGTTTTTGTTAATTTTACCATGACGCCCGCTCGTCGAGCCTTCTCGATCGCTATACCAAAATTCAGGCAATCCCCCGTGTAATTAGGCACCACGACCACAATACCAACTGAAGAGAGATATATTAACGCGACGTTAATGAAGAATCTATTATACTTTATAACAATAAGTATGTAGAATAAAAAGACCTTTATTGTTCTCCGCGACGCATCGAAGAGCATACGTGATATGAGTAGATGGCGGCGCCGCAAAGATAGATCCCGCTATAGAAGCTGTCAACATGCCGCTGCCAACGAAGCCTAATACGAAAAAAAAGTTTCGTGCACGAGGCTTTCGTCCTTCTTAAAGTTTCTGCTAATTTAAACCCAATGACAACGTACAAATCGAAATATTGTACAAGTGAAATATTACTCGACTTTCATTCTACTTTAGATTAGAAAGAAGATTCTAAAGTAGATTCTCATTTTTTTAGAAATATTTATTTTATAAAAAGAGATAAATGAGATTTGTGTTGATTAAGATGTTCAAATTAATGCAACAAATAAAAGACAAAATATGTATGATGCAGATATTAATTACCTGCAGCAAATGGCTCGTGTCCACTACCACCGCCGCAGATCAAGGCCACTTTATCTCGACGATTCCTATACTGAAGTATATGTAAACATAAATTGCACTTGGAGAAATATATTATTTACAACAAAGTCAACGACTAATTGATCCAATGGCGTAAGATGAATCATTTCATGAATATTTAAATAGTTACAAAACAGCAAATTCTGCTGAGTTTCTGCAGTCAATCTGCCATTATATTCTATTAGCGGATTCTGTTGTATTTCCGTTGACATTTTATTGAAATTTGTGTAGTAGATGCTTTTTCAAAATCTGTTCTTGATTGGCAGATTTGACTGGGAATGAAATTGCTTGATATATCGAATGCTTTATAAACTTATCTGTTATTTAATCGTAATAAAGCGATAACGCTACGGAAATAAAAGTGTATTTTTATATACGTACGTCTGGTGACAGTACCACTCTGTGCGATACGTGATGCTCTAATTGCGGATACGTGTAGGATAATCCCGACAGAGTCTCAGACACGGCATCGTCCAACGAATTAATCAAATTCTTCAACGTTGCCATCGTAAGTCGCAGTCAGACGGATCACCAACGTTAAATACCACGTCGAACGAATCGAGATCAATTTCAACGAGATCCGTAAATCGAGTAATCTCTGCCTTTAGATCCCGGGTTATCGGAAAGCTTCGTGTGACGTTTCACGTATTTTGATAACCGAGATTTACGAATTGGACGGAGTGTAACGGAATTGATGGTACATTCAATTCTTGACTCGCTCGGGTCTGACAATGAGTCGGAACGCATCCAGCCGCACAGTGAATGATTTATGTTTCTCTCGCGTACATACGACTCTAACGTGCGTGATTTTGCAATCGTTACTTGAGAATGGAGATTTAGATGCAGTCAGTTCAACAATCATCTCTTGATTAGAAGACAACCGAGGGAGTGAGAGACTATTTAGCCGAAAAGCACGATGATTATTCAGTGAGACTGGACGTTACATTTGAGACATCAATTAAAGCGAAATATTGTGGTATGATATGAAAAGTATACTTTTTTTAAAATCAATGTGTGTGTCAAGGTGTGTATCAGCAGTCCACGAGAAAAGAAACTCTGCAACTTTCGGTTTTTATGGATTGGTATATACATATACATATAATCTGGAAGTAATCTGGAAACGATTCAGTCTTGCATTATTTATATTAAAAAATAACGTACACTTTTATATTTCTTTTGCTTATTTCAAATAATTTATAACGCATGTTAGAATTCCGAATAGAATTCCATTTACAATTTCATGTAGCCTATAATACGAAAAATGTTTGAAGGATCATATCTTATTCACACGTGCATAAAATATAATAAATTATATTAATATGCATGTACATATCATGGTATATAAAATAATTAATATAGAACTCCATGTTAAAATCTAACGATCTGGCGACGGCGGTTGGCGGCAATGGCAAGGAGAAAGTTTTAGAAAATTAATTACGATCTTTTTCTAATATAAATGAAATAAGAAAAATAAAATTAAAGTTTAAAAAAAACTATGCAATATTATTTATTTTACCCCTTTTTTCTTTTCTTTTTCCATCTACAGCCGATAATATCGATATTCTTCAATTATTTTCAGGCCTCCGGGGGCTTCCATTGACAGTCATGATAATTTGCCAAAAATTCATGGTCTTCAATAGTATCTCATCGGTGAATACGTATTCTTTTATTTATAATCGAGCTATTTATTTTATTACCGATAATAACGATCAACACGACCATCAGTTGCGCCTAATTAACGAGAGATGTCACCACTATAACGTTAATTTATCTTTTTACCTCAAAGTTACAACCAGAAGATGTTTCAATCGCTGAGCTTTCGTCACATTCGCATAAATTTCAAAATATTCACCACTTTAAAATTTTGTCTACGTTCTTTTCCAAATAACGTTCTAATATCAAGCGTATGACTACGATAATATGAAACAGATTCGTATCAAGAAAGTTTTGCTACCTTGTTACTAAAAGTTTAATGCTTCTGATTCTAATAACGGAGATTTGACTTAATTAGATGTATTCTGGAGAAATGATGTAACGCCGAGGGCATTATTTATGTTGCCACTATTTATTATTGTATATGCTCAAATATGGTAAACATGTAACAACTGCTAAAAGTTGTACTTAAGTTATTCTTATTTACAATAGGTTAAAACTATTTTTAAAAGCCAAGATAGATTACATATAAAGTAGATCTAAACGAAATTTAAGATATATCTCAGAGAGTAGGAATAGATTCGACATAAATACTATATCGCAATAACATATCAATTGGGTGACAAGTAATGTACAAAGATCATGTCAAAATGGGATATCGCATTTGCTACGGACGTTCGGCGCAAATGTCTCGTGCGCACGGCTTGGTGTTACACATTACATGTACGAAAGTGCGCGTGCGAGAAAGGAAAAAAAACCATTGAGCATAGTCCTTATACATCTTGTCTCTTTATCTCTTACGGTCGTTAGATCCACTGCGACGAGAACGAGATCGACGGCTGTGGCTGCCACTGCGAGAACGTTTTGCTCTGGAACGAGAACATATCGGTATCGGAAACGTTGTGAGACAATGGCAGATAAGCGTTTGCTCATTTTAATTCACTCGGATTTGAAAGAGACGCGGTGACTACTCATTTTCAACTCGCTACGATCAAAAACTGTGAAAATTCACAAACCTTCTTCCACGACTGCGACTGCGAGATCGTGACTTTTTCCTACCGCTGTCCCTGCGTTCCCGGTCCCGATCACCACCGCGATCGCGTTCGCGATCGCGGTCACGATCGCGATCGCGATCACCACCACGATCACGGTCACGGTCGCGATCACGGTCGCGATCACGATCGCGGTCACGGTCACGGTCTCGATCGCGGTCACGGTCGCGGTCGCGATCTCTGTCGCGGTCGCGGTCTCCTCTGTAGCCCAATCCTCCGCGGTTCCTGTCCCTATCGCGATCTTTGTCGCGGTCCTCCCTGTCTCTGTCCCGTCTTCTGTCGAGCATAGACTCGCGCTTCTCCTTACGCCTCTCCTCGACGGTCTTTTGAAGATCGGCGAGCTTCTCACGGATTTTGATGAAACCGAGATGCAGCTTCCCACCAAAGTGATCCGCCAGCCGTCTGTCATTGTCGTGTATTCCAAGATACGCGCTGCAAACTTCGCACACTCTCAGCTTCTGCTGCTGATAACTTGACGCCGGCATACTGTTTCGATACTCCTGTTCCGCTTCGTTCTTCTTTTTGCGCAGCTCATCGATCTCGCCCATCAGCTTCATCGACTCCTCGACAAAGCCCTCCTCGCCGAGCTGCTCGGCCTTGGCTAGTTTCTTACCGATCTCCTCGGCGAGCACGTGGACGTTGTTCGCCTTCGCCGCCACCTCTGCGCTCAGTTCCTCCTGCGTCTCTGCCAGTCGCTGCTTGGCTTGCTCTGTACGACGATCGCAGTCGGCAATGAAGTTCTGAAGATGCTCCATCGCCTGGAAAATCGGAGAGAAAGACATGTCAGAATTTCAATCGGAATTCTAAAACTTCTCAATAATCGTAAATCGTCGAATGCAAATTACGAACAATCGATACGATTAATTAGGGGAAAAAAAACTCATTGATAGGCAAATTATTAAATTATAACTTCAACGTAATAAGATTAATACTCACGTCAATGTCATAGAAGTGATCCTTCTTCTTTTGCGCGGCCTCGAAGTCAGCCCGTAGGGCCAAGTCGTGAATCTGGGGGCAATCTCCCAGGTCCATGCGCTACGATTTACAAATCAGATCATGATTAGATTTACGGTCCCTCCGATCGTAGGGCCTTATCGATTCTATGCGTTATACGAGTTAGAGACCCTTCCCAACATTGCGTATTTACGAGATACTTCTTAGTTTCTTACTTGACAAGAATATAACGTACTTGGTCGCGGTGCCGCGACTGGAAAATAGCACGAATCGATAATCTAGGAGAGAGACAGAGATGATACGACAAAAATTCTGAGCTTATGTTCGCCTGTATCCTTAGGATAAGACGGTCCAATAGGTTTTCATCTTTTTCTTTATATATATATATATTATTTTTTTCATTCTTTTCATTCTTTTTACGTGAACTCACGGAAACGTGAGCTCGTCTTCCTGCACGGGCTAGGATAGAGCGTACAATAATGAAGCGATTGAGATCGTCAAGCGATCTAGCATCGCGTGTAAAAGTAGAAATGCAGATTTGTACAGATAAATAGTTTGTTGTTTTCACTTACAGGGTGGCAACAGTTCTCCGCCTGACACGAGAATGCGATGGCAATGAAGCTATAATCAGCACACACCTTAAGTTTCATAATGTTCACTTTTTTTCTACGAAAGAGAACTTACAGCCTATAATGGTTTAATATACTATTTTACGTACGGCACGAATCGTGTCTTATGTTGGCTGCTAAACGAATTTTTAGAAAAAAAAAACGGATTCAATACGTACACATCCAATGGTTGAAGGAAATTTTTCTAATGGAACTGGCGCTTGTTGTACTAATCCGCCTAATCACACGTCTCTCTGCGTCATGCCACCTCTCATATTTTCTCTTGCCGAGACACGTTTGGATGTTGCAAATTGCCAAAGATATTAATAAATAACCGCGTGAACGAGTCCGAGGAACTAATGCTAAAAATCTCCTTAATCGTCGCGATCGGTATTTATAAGGCGCTCCGCCTAATTATGAATTAAAAGATCTACATTAATCTCAAAGTCTACACCGAATCAGCGCGAGAGAGGATCAAGGAAAATTTCTCCTTGTTTTTAAACTCTTAGAACGGTATCGAAACAGAAGGGGGGAAAATTCTCCTCCCCCCGAATGTGAAACTCTCGCGCGAGGAAAGACACCAACGAGACATCTACAACGAACGTCGTAGGTACTTGGCAATTCGCAAATCTTCTACTTACAGATCACTGCTTCATTTCCTGCACCCATATACTTCCACAGGATGATATATATTTTCTCACACACATTCTCAAAGTAAACTTGTCAATCCTACCTGCCGTAAACGGCATTATTAGTAAGAAGCGACATTAAGACATCGTCTCATGAATCAGCATGACGCTCTACTCACCGAACTCACTGTTTACAGGCCTTTTCGAGGGGGATTCTGGGAATTTATTCATTCGGCATATTCACTCAGCCTCGCCACCGTGTGGGAAAAAAAACCGGTAGAGGGGCTGAGGTAAACCGCCCGCCTTTATCGTCTCTCGTTATCGAATTAATATATATATAGATATATATACATAGATATAGATATAGATATGCATATATATATGTATATTTAGCACTTGAATTATGGTAAAGGTAAATCAAATTGTAGGTGTAATACGTACGTCCTCTTCTCGTTTTCAGTACTTACAGTAACGCGCGTGTGAGAGTGACAAGTACAACACGGACATATGAGCGGACAATACTCGCAACAATATTGTACAATGGATCTGATTGGAATTGCTTTTTCCAGAGACTCTGGAAATAGAACTGTAGTTACGTTGACATTAGTGGATCTGCATATCAGCATATTTCTCGTTCGAGCGAATTGCCATTAGTATTTTTTCGTAATTTTCGTTTCGTTTAAACTTTAAATAATATTTCTTTACTGTCTGCCTCTTTTGGTTCGTTCTCAATATTTTTTTCAATTAACAATTCTCGTTTGTAGAAATTATATCGCGGGACCTTCAGGAGTGTTTGCTATCTCTCACCGTTACGTTTCAATATATTTTCACGTGTGTCTCACAATTTGATCCGATCTAAATGATTTTCATTCACAAAATATTACATTCTTTAATGCTTATTACGTAAAAAAAAAAGGAAAAAAAAGTAAAATTGCTAGTATCCGAATAACTGCTTTATATTTGTCAATTCTACCGGAATTACACTTCATCCGGGATTTGAATCTGAATACAATCTAGGCTGATCGAGAATAAAGGCGGTACAGAATGAAGTACAATTCCATTTACATCTTCCTTATTCAAGCTATGAGCCCTTTATACTCGTCGGGAATCTAATTAAAATCCTTGAGGAGAAATGAAAGCGAGGGACGCAGATTGATATAGAAATGAATAAGTGACATCGTTCATTCTGAGAGAAAAAAATAATAATCGAATAAATTACACAGAGATAAATCCATCCAAGATGGAATTAACCACCAACTTTGCTCTTATTTACTTCTGATAAAAAAGATTGTTCTATAAATCCGATAAGAAAACTCAGTAAACCTCTCGAGATCCTTTTCAGCATCAATCATGCCAGCGACAGGCTTTCGAAATCCACGCGTGTTACGTAAAATTATGTAAAATAAATTCCGATAAATCCACGGATGACATTGAGAGTTGACTGATTAAAGATTAAAAAGCAACTCCGCTTAGAGCGAGCGCTGGCATTTTCCGTGTAAAGAAACTTTCCTACGTTAGTAGCTGCCTGAGAGATAGAGAGATAAAGAGAGAGAGGCAGGGAGAGAAGGAGCACATAGTGGGACGGCACTTTTAAAATGTCTGTCACGCAGACTATAATAAACTTATAATAGAAACAACTTGATTATTATTCCAGAGACGGTAGAGAGGCACGCTTGAATATATTGGAGCATCGATCTTGTTATAAAACTCGAGAATCCGATGAGGGGTGGCTCAGGCAGCCACGTGTAGGAGAATACGAAAGAGAGAGGGAGAGAAAGAAAGAGAGAGAGATAGCAAACATCCCTGTGATCAATTCGCACAAGATGACACTGAAATGCGCGAAGCAGTACTTTAGTTATAGTTTGCCTATGCATCAACCGTATGCCGTATAATCCGGTAATCTATAAAAGTGTTGCTCGATCGACCGCATATATGCAGGACGTGCATGCAATTGCGTCTTCATCTCAAGACACCACGGTGTCACCCCGTGTGCTGCCCGATATCACTGCGATGGGAATTGCAGTATTCTCGGTGTACATTAGATAATTAGATGTATGTCCACAACCGCGTTCCGGGGGAATAGAACAGGCAAGACTGTGCTCCGCGGTTTGGAAGGAGGAAAAAAATAACGTGGAATGAAAACGTGGATCCCTCGCAACATTCTCTCGCGCTCGTATAATTTCCAAGCCGCGCGCAACGTACATTTTGGCTGTTCTAAGCCCCGAGGTAATCTACGGTATACTATGCGCGTGTGTATCGACAGTACGATTAAAAACGCCTGCCCCGTGTTGCACTTCGACGGTATCCAGTGTGAATTGATCGTAATCAATTCCTGAGGTACGTTGTTCGGATTAGATAAGGCGAAAACGCTTCCCCTCCGGCGCTTGTCCCTTATTTAAATTCGCTTATTGTGAGCCCTACAAAGGACGGATTCTTACGGATCTACGGACACTTAACGCCTACGTGTGTGATACTGAGCACACCGATTGGCACAGGTGAGGAAAAAGCGCTAACGAATGGAATGTACGTGGCGAGTCTACCTTCTACCTCGTTTTATACGGATCTGTCTATTTCTAAGTTCTACGGGCGAGTAAAAAGAAAAAATAAATGCTTCTCTCAGCTCCTACCATTCGAGACAGCTAAGCGGGTATTCTACATACATTCTTCTACTTGATTGTAAGGTATACCTTTGTATGTACAATGCGAAAAGATATATTCTAATTGTGTAACGTATTTGCAACGTGTGTGTACAGCAGTATGGTGCTAAACAGGTCAGTGTGCACACGAGTTTGCCGTGGCGATAAAGTGGAGTACAGAGGCGACCTTCCGTCAATTTATTGCCCTTTATACCGTTAAAATGGATAACTCGATGGGCGGCAGCAAATGTAGCGTAGGAAACACGAGGCGAGCCTGCGAGAGAGATAACGTAATCTGGGGCAAGCACATTTCAAATTCTTTACAAATTAGATCGTAAGATGTACGGCAAAAAGCTGCGTATAAAAATTCTAAATTTTGTTAAGATAAAGAAGCGCGCGCGGCTTTGCCTCGAGGAGAAAAATTATTTTTATCTTATTATTCTGTATGTAAGTCTGCTCAGCTTAGTTTTGTATTTATGCTTTCAAATGGCAATAATACTAATCGTGCACACAGACCGTTTGTGACCATTGAGGTTGAGTATGATGAGTAAGTATGCATATATAAAAAGTAATCAACTATTCGTTACAGGCATTGTAGGAAAATTATGATTACAAGATTCCATTATGCTGTATTCAATATTGGCTTTGCCATCACAATAATATCTGTCAATATGGTACTCTAACGATACAGTAAAATTATTTTGATTAAGAAATGACGAGACTCACATCGGTATCATTTCCATCATTTTCGTATATATCATTCATGTGCTTCAGTTGGTTAAAATATATTTAAAAATATATTTGGAAAAAATATATAAATTTAAATATATTTAAAAATAAGTGAAAAAACTGAGAGAATTAGTCAAAAATCTCAGAGTGATCGTCTCCCTTTTTTGTTTTCACATTATTGCATGGATACTAATTTTAATTACATTTCATATTTAATTTTGTTTCAAGCGAATTTTATTTTAGTTAACAATGGGTGACGCATGGCTCTGAGAGCGATTGACTCATGGTCGACGGGTCTCGGATTCGATACCGACCATCGTCCCGTAAATGCGAGTTAAGAGGTTGATTGGAAAATTAAAGGTAGTAAGTAGATGTGAAGGGGTGTACGAATGATAATCCGTTTCGAGGTTTCGCCCATATCATCAATAAAATAGATAATATATGTATATCGACTAGAAGAGCAAATTGACCAAGAGATCGTGCAATCAGTGTAAACAGAATTTACGAAATAACTAAATAAATGTAGGAGGGAAGATAAAATAGCCCTTTACTTTCTCACTTTAAATCGGGATTGGAAAATATCGGCAAAACACCCGTATGTGTGTATGCGTGTGTCGCGTGTGTGTGTATATATAAATATATACAGGGTGCATTTATTCTCTGCGCATAGTGCCAACGGTGTGTCAATCGTGTTTTCTTATTCGCTGCAGCGCGGAATATTACACTCACCGTCGACGAGAGGATTTCATGTGGGCAGCAGGCCAGCAAAAAACTCTTGCAGACCTTCGAGTCGGAGTATTTGACTTGAAATTTGTTATTTTCACCTGCAAAACAAGCACAGAGTTATCCAAGAGTTATCTCCGTATACGCGGAGTAGGGTGGTACATTGTTAAACAAGTATGGCCGCGCGGCCTCGCGTTATTCAATTTGCTGCACTCTCTCTCGACCCCTGGCCCTCACTCACTCCGCGAGCCCGCGGTGCCGCGCCGTAACGACGAGAGAAGCGAAGATATAAACGTATGTACCATTTCGTCCTGTGCCCATTAACTGGTCGAGCATAGCTCGCATTTGATCGTGCGCCGTCATTTCTCGTGTAGGTCGGTGTCTACAACCTCTCAAAGGCACGCAGCTCAAGCAAATCGTGCGGCCACGCCATCCGACGCACACATACACACGCGTACACGCGCGACAATCTCGGTTCGATCGCCGCGCCGCGCTCGGCGACCGCAGCGCCACCGGCGTAAACGGCAGCAGCCGCGTTTCCACGCGGCGACGCTGGCGACGGCTGCCCGACGAGCCGATTGGCGGGACTTTGGAATGACGCGGCTCTCGTCCCGGCCAATAAGATCGTTCGGCGAGCACGACGAAGTTGCCGCGAAGCGGCCGTTTCTTGATTGGCCGTCGGATAGGGAATTGATATTCGCGGGCGATCCATCGAGCGACGCGCGTCCGCCATTTTGTCGGCAGAAGGGGGCAGGAAATTTTTAATGGATTGTAATAGATGTTGCGAATCGATCTCGCGGTCATTCGGACGCGAGTATATCAATTTTTCTCGCTCACGACATTGTAATGTTTCGTTGAAGCGTGTTGAAATCAAGATTTATTCTCGAAAAACGAGAAACACCTCTTTTACATTTCCCCGTTCCATTTGTTATTCCCTTTTATGCGCGAAAATGCTGTTGGTAAAATTATAAAAATTGTAAAGATTAAGTGGATTTATGATTCTTTCAGGACTTTGATAACCGATATGAAAGGAGAGAGCGTCGGGATTTACGCCGACAAAGTTCCAACGGTATTTAAACCAGGGGGTGCTCGGCGACTTCCAGCACGTTGGAGTGCAATGACCGGCGGCCCCCCTCGAGAGTTTAAATCAAATTATACACTTCCGTGTACAATATCGGACGTCAAAACTTATCTACACTTTCACGACTATTGTAATCGCAATATTTTCAGTAAATGCAAATTTTTCTTTAAATTACAAAGTCTCCGGCGTACAATAATTTCCATGTAAAGTCGGCGTTTTAAAATAAACTTCCTCCATCTCTCTCTCTCTCTCTTACATTTAAATAAAAAATTATGATATAAAACAAAGTGATTTTAATCATTTTCACAATTTCATGTATATATTTGTTATTTCGCAATTTACAGTAATTCTCTTGACGTCGGCGCGCGGCCGACGTTTTCGTTCATTTTTCAGTTATTCGAGCAAATCCAAGTCGCGGTTAGCGCGTTGCATAATAGTTTCCGAAAATTTCTCAAGCCCAGCCGAGCGACAGTCGCGAGTCGCGATCCGCGCGCAGAAACCGCATGCAGAAAAGAGAGGTAAGACGGTGCAACCGGTAGCGGAGGCGGTGGCGACGATGGTGGCGGTGGTAGAGGTACCAGGACTCCGCGCTCTCGATCGTGACCTGCGAGCGAGCGAGTAAATGCAGCGGGCAAGCGTAAAAGCGAGACCGCGGGATTAAGCAGCGCGGAGGAGGTGGAGGAAAGACCTCGGTGCCGCGAGCGAGTGCGAGAGGAGGACGGAGAAGCTTGGCGAAGACTCGAGGTAGTAGGTGGATGAAGAGGAGGTGATGGCGGTGAAGGAGGAGAAAAAGAAGAAGGAGGAGGAGGAGGAGGTGGTGGCGGCGGCCGCGCGCGACGTTGGTGGTGGTAGGAGAACCAGCCTCCGCCAGTCCATCCACGTGTTCAGTGTGGTTGCGCGTTATGACCCGGATGTTAGATCGTAGCCGCAGTTTCGCGAGAACCTGCCGACCCGGATGTCCTCCCGCTCGTTGTCCACCAGTGCTCGACCACTGATGTCTTCCTGGCCACCGAAATATGTTCAATCGGTAAGTTACGGCCGTCCCCCCGGCACCCCTCCCTCATCGTCATCAACGTTGTCGTCGTCGTCGTCGTCGCTGGAGTTGTCGCCCCCGTACTTTGGCGAGGACCACCGACTCCTCTCTCTGAATGCGCGATACGACGCGTCGCGCGTTAAAACTCACCCCGAGGCTTTCTGCGTCTTTACTCTTCGACCGGATGAAACTTGATAAAAATGGATGTTGGTTGCGAGAAATTGAATGGAGAACCGACCCAGACCGCACAATGTCCAAAATCGGGACGTAAGACGTCTTAAGCCCATTCTACAATAGCCGTAAAAGTATGTTTTAAGACGTAAGCAGTAAAAATTGACCAACTACAGTCGATCATTCTTGGATTGTAAAAATCCCATTAGTCAATAGCTTACTGCTTACGTCTTAACGCATACTTTACGCTATTGTATAATGGGCTTTATATCTCGATTATGAACATCGCGTTGTCTGGGGATCGGTGATCCTCGCGCCGATTCAGGGGTGAGTGCACCCTCGCGACGTCGTTCCCCGCCGAGACGCGCGGGCGGGTGGTCCCGGAGGACCGCGGAGGACTCGGGCCGCTCCTCGCTGAAGTACGAGATGTCACGGATCCCGGGATGTTGAAGTGGACAGTGGGTGCGACCACCAACGATCTCTCGCGAAACGACACCGGGACGGGACGCACGTGTCGCACGTGCGTGTGCCGCGGCAAATGACGGTAACGTCAGCGTGTGCTTGAAGGATAGATGCGAGCAAGTCTACGAAAGGCGCCAGCAAACTTCGAAGGGACCTGATAAACGCCGAAATCGCGAATCTACGTGACTTACTGCCGTTACCGCCCTCGACACGCCAGAGGCTTTCCCAGCTGCAGCTTATGGCCTTGGTCTGCGTGTTCCTGCGAAAAGCCAACTACTTTCAGCAAGGTATGGCGAACGGCGAGCATCAGAGAGAGAGCTTGCCCACGTATTTAAATTTTAAAGCTCTCTCTTAGTGTCTCGAAGTTGCAAGCGGATTCTCTTCGCTCAGCAAGTTTTTATATGAAAAAGTTGTTCATAAGATTCTCAACTCGTAATGTCGGAAGCGACGCACGATATTTTTTATTGCCGAGAGTTTCTCGAAGTTCTAAAATACTAAAGTAATACTAATATATAGTTTAGCCAGTATTACTAATATATGGTAATATTAAATAATAGCCAGTCGTAGAATTTTTTTATTTTTTTTATTTCTTAATATGTATTTTTAAAAAGTTACTAATGTTAAATACTGAACGTTTACGATATCGATGATAATATCCACAAATATTAATGTTAAATTAATGTTGGATATCAAATTGATATAATGATTTCAGAATAACTATTATCGAGAATTGTTAAGTTACTCGAAAGTACGGCTTATATATATACCTGCGTTTAACATCGAGGAAATTGCGATATGATACGCACGTCGCGTCACACCGAGTTGCAAACTTGTTACTATAAAATAAAGAATGGTGATAAAGCGAGTCCCATCGGCGTATCGCGATTACTATATCTTTACAGTAATTCACATCCATCGGCCGAGACTTCAATGCCGGCAAGCGCTCGTGCCATGCAATTCCCCGCGTCTGTACTCTGATATTTCAGCGAGCGCATTGGTACTCGGCGTACTGTGCTATACGTAATGATCGGGATGCATTGTACCGACCATAAAACACGCTAAATTGATGTTACTGTTGCTTAAGGATTGTTAATAAATTTCCATCGGACGCAAAAATGCCCTGACGGACAATTCTTGATTAATAAGTATATAATCGGGCATAAGTAATAAACCTAATAAATCTTGCGATTATTGTTATTAACAATATCGGTTTTTTTACAACAAAATATGCACGAGAGATTAAAATCATTGAAATTATATCTTAAATGAAGAATCTTGGAGAGTTATCTCAATAATATGCGATGTGAGAAAATTCATTATTAATCCCAAAAGGATTACTCGATGAAAAATGATTTAAAAACAGTTGATAATTAAAATGTTAATCTAAAAATGAGAATTATAGAAACTTTGTCGATATTTTATAATTTTGGTATTACTTTATCTCGCTGAAGAGTGAGCATCTTGTTACTTGTAGCAAGTACTCGTAACAAGGAAACATGCAAAAGCGGAGGTCGCAAAATGTTGCCGTTTGATTCTGAATTTTATCTTCTCGATACACAAAAAACGTTCGTTATTATCGTTAGTCGAGGATTCTTTGGTCGCTCTTATATTATCGATTAAACGCTCTAATCCGAGATATTTGCCGAATTTAGAGAATCCGCTTTCGGTTCTCGATCTCTCTTCATCTCGTCGGCCGTAATCGGCTGGTGACCCGCTCAAACGATCCGCGCAAAGGAGAATTTCTATTCAGTTGCGGGAGTCGGCCGGGTAACCCGGCTGTAAGCTTCTCGTAGACAGAGGGAGAGACGGCGGGGAACGCGGTATCCCGGTGGATACCAACAACGAGAGAGACTCGCAGGAGAGAGGAGAGGAGAGGAGAGGCGAGGCGAGGCGAGCGCAAAGCAAAGCGAAGCAAAGCGATGCAAGAAGGCAAGATCGGCCGGCGCGCGTTCAAACTCAGCGGAGTCTAAGCGCGAGTTCCGGGTGATCCGCTGACCTGTCGGCCTTTGCAACAACACTCTCACGCTCCTGTAACCCACACTCCTCCTCCCCGCATCGCGTCCCCCTCTCACTCTGTCTCTCTCTCTTTCTCTCCTTCGCTCTCTCCCTCTCGCCCTCTTTCTCCCTATCGTTCCTCTGCCACCCGCCGCAGCTTCCCTTCCCCTCTCGCGTTCTTCTTCTCTCCGTTCTCCTCTCTGCTCCCCTTGCCCTCCTCCTATCCTCCCCCTTTCTAGCCGTCTCTCTTTCTCTTTTCCTCCCCCTCTCTCTCTCTCTCTCGCGCTCATTGTCTCGCGGTATCGGGTACTATAGTCCCATGTAGCGCCGTTAGTAAACGCTGCCGTGCTGCATTAGCATACGCATTTTTCCTCATCCTTCTCTTTCTCTCCTTCGTCTCGCGGTGCATACCTTTTTTCTCCTCTTTACTTTTTCGGGGAAGCTCCTGCGAAGAGGGTGGCAAGCGCGCGAGCAATCGCGTGAAAAAGTACGAGATTAAAATGGATCTCTCTCTTTCTTTCTCTGTCTATCTCTCTCTCCCTCCCCCCTCCCTCTCTCTTTTCGGTCCGTTGGAAGCCCGCGCGCGTGCCCCGAGACTATCGCACGTAATTAAGACTCGAGACACAATGAGGCGTAAGAACAGCATCCAAAGAACGAAGAATCGATACGCGCGGCCTAAGAAAATCTAAAGATAAAGAGAATAGAACTAAAAAGAAACTGCACATTTGAAAAATAGCGAATTTAATTAGCATTCTGACGGAAGGCGGCATTCTGATGACCTCGGATCGATGATACTTTCCAACCGATCGCTCCGCTATTCTTCTACTAGCCTTCCAGCTATTTTCTTCGCGTTTTCTCAGATTCGCGTTTACATTTCTAGGACATTGGTCAGGAATGCGGCTGAAACAACAGCTTTTTTTTTACAGTTCGCGATAGACATACGAGCTTATCAAAAGCGTTCGCACGTTTTCACGTTGCATAAAATAAAAATAGAAATAACGATTCTCGCCTTATCGTACTATTGCTGACAGTAAACCCACATTGTACCATACGTATATGTTGATAGCGATTTATTTTTCTCTTGCATGACAATATACTATTTTGTTTCTTCAACAAATGCTACAATAAAACACGTAATATTGATTTATTTGTTCTTTTAAATGTTGTATTTTTATCTTGATAACTTTGATTCTTCTATTTTTTCCGTTTCAGCGTTGAAAAACTGCCCGTCCGAGTCCTCGAATATTCCAACACCCAATATAGGATTTTCAAAAGTAATTATTTTAAGTTTATTTATATATTGATCACTTGTAATTATTTTACGATCGTATCTTTTATATACATTTATATCTGCTATTTACTACACATTTTTGGAATACAGTCCGTGCGTCTTTTCCAGGCGATGTCCGGTTTTATTATGATGATGACGCAGCAAGGAAAATTGTTATACATATCAGAAAATGCGGCAGATTATCTCGGGCATTCTATGGTACAGTAATTTTATATAACGTAGGCGACAGTTTTTGTAAATGTTAAAATGCTAGTAGCATTATTGTCTCTGAGTCATCACAATCGTGATAAGACGAAAGATTTTCAGGAGGATTTGCTTATTCACGGGGACAGCGTGTACGACGTGATCGACAAGCAGGATCATATGGTCGTGCAAAATCAGTTATCCCGAAACAGTCCGATTCCCAGCGACAGGAGGCTGTTCCTGTGTCGAATCAACGTGTCGAGAAATTCTCGGAGGCAGCTGCGATTCGGCGATCAGAAGGTGATTAAAAACCGCTGATTAACTTTGTAAGATATCGTCCACTTTCCATACGGATACCGCGGCATCGTTCGTTTCTATTCGCAGGTAATTCTCGTGGAGGGTCACTTCCTGCCCTTCGTTCCCGTTTGCAATCGCAACGAGTTCGTTTTCCTGGCGTCGTGCACCCCGGTGGTCCTGCCGGAGACCCGAGAGAGCATCGTTCAGGGCGCGACGAATATCTTTACCACGATTCACTCGATGGACATGAAATACCTGCATATCGATAAAACGTAACGTATAATACGCGCCACTGATAAGTTTAGAAATTCGCGTTGCCTAAGTTCTGTTTTCCTGGAGGTTTCTTCTTCTGCAGCGCGGAAAGTCACCTGGAGTACACGCGCGCCGAGTTGGTCAACGTATCGTGGTATAATCTACTTCATTGGGATTCTATAAGGACCGCCTATTGCAAGCATCAAACCGGTAATTACGCTACGAAAAATTCTCTTGATAATAAAGAAAACGAAAATCCTGCGACAAGCCAAGCTAAAAAGATTTCTTTTCCGTGTTCTGATTTGTTCTCTGTAAACTTGATTTTAGTCATCCAGTCCGATCAGGAGCGATCCACCACCGCTTTACTGAAGCTACAAAGCCGCTCCGGAAGGTGGTTCTGGGTCCATTGCGTGCTGCAGGTCAAGGACACCTCTGACGAGTGTCAGCATCCTATAATCGTTTGCACGAATCAAGTGCTCACGTACGTTTACGATTATTTCATTATCTCTTTTAATCGTTTATTAAATTATGAAATTTTCTATTTATCTAATTAATCGGTAATGTAATTCGCTCGAATTAGTTTCGATAACGTCGCGCAATATACAATAATTACAGCGACAGAGAGGCCGAAGTAATGCGCTCCAGTTCATGGCTGTACCAGTACTCGTCTCAAACGAAGTTCACCTACGGGCTCTGCCCCAGCGGTCAAGGTCGCGGTACCGTTTATCCCTCCGCAGGACCTCCTACCAATCAAGTCCAGGAATACGTTCGGACATATTCCAACGACACCACCGATACCCAGCTCTCGCCGTCGCTTCACTCGGACCGATCCGAGACGGAGTCGCACGGTGCTTCGAAGATCGCGCAGTCAACGGATTACCCCAACCGGCGGCTTCTGCGGGACGACGCGGAGCCAGTGGACATGTCGATAAGCGGCGCAGAGCAGCACGAGGGCAGGGGCGTCCAGGGCGCGATCTCCGATCATCAGCAGCACGTCCTGGACGACGCGGTCAGGTACCACCACAAGCAGTACCATAAGAGCTCGTTGCATCTGGCCGGCTATCGGGCCAAATTCGTGCAGTGTCACGGCACGCAGTACGCAAGCGGCTGCGCGGACGTGCTGTCGGTACCCGGCACCAAGTATTATCTTACCGACCTCGACCGGGACTATTGCTGCAGCGCGGAACGGAGCGGCCTGTTGCTGCACAAGCGGCTGCCGACAAAGGCGTTGCTCGCGCCGCCGCCACCCTCGATCGCCACCGCGACGGCCGAACCGCCGCCGCCCGATACCACCCCCCTGGAAAACTGGGGCACGGCGTGGTCGGACGCGCTGCAGAGGGTTCCAGACGTGGTACACCAGGACCTGAGCCCGTACATCACCACGCCGACCACGCCCGTCAACACGCCCGACTCGGACACGCTCGGACACCCGGAGGCGCCCATCTTCAACTTCGACTGGGCCGGCACCGAGCAGCACGTGCCAAACCTGAAGATTACCTTCCATCGCGGCAGCACCGCGACGACCACCACCACCACCATCGGCCACCCTGCCGCCCAACCTAGGAAGCAACATCAGGACACGGTGCAGCCCATCACGCTACAGTTACCACGTAGGAAGGGACAGTCCACGGAAAATGACAGCAAGGACTTCCCGAAATGAATTAGAAAATACGTATAAGTCCGAGGGGGGGGGGGCCATACAATAAGTTTAGAGGACAGTAAAAGAGTACAAGAGTAGGGAAAACCTATAGTTTTCCACCTACAGCCTTATTTTATAGTAAAAGCTTAGAAAACATCCGATACCAGTTAGTTAGTTAATAAAAAGAAAAATCCATGTAAGAATCTAGAAGAAATTAGAGACGAAAGTAGGGATTAGTATCTATGAATCGACCGGAAATGTGTGAGTGTGCGACCGAGGGGTCGTCGTAAGAATGCGAAAACACAAAAGGAATGTCGGACAGTGTCGTACTTACATACAATCTCTTTGTCACAGACAACGGAGTATATTCTTCCAAATTCTATCGGTATCGCGTTACACAATTTTCTACACGCTCGTTCGTCTTTTCCCTCTCTCTCTTTTTTCTTTTTTTTTCCTCTTTTTATCTTCAACGTCTCTGTCTCTTTGGCGTCTTACGTTACTCTCGAATCGTAAATTCTTCATTAATATAAAACACGTATATAAACATAGACTGATTACATCGGTGTTTACAATAATCTACGATTAAAAAAAGTCGTACATCATTTCGTTTATCTCCGGTATACGCTTTTTTATGCGAGAACATTCGTTTTGAGATAAATAGCACGCATCGTACGCGTATATTCCAAGTGTATATATATTTATATTATATATATTACATATATAATATTGTGCATATTATATATATAATATATATATTACATATATTATATATATTTATATATATATATATAACTATGTATGAGTGTGCAGTGTCGTAAGAGGGTACCCAGGTACATGCGCTATATATGTTTGAGATTTCCTTTGAAAATACCTAAATCTTACGTTTAACACACGATGAAATATATTCGCTTTGTACATTTCAACGCATTCGACGAAGGAGAGTGTTTCCCTTTTTTTTTCTTTTTCGGCGCGCAACGTGCACGTCGCGCGTTACATTACGTCTCGACGTGATGTACTACAAAGGAAACAGGTAAATAAAGAGAGGCAGTTAATCGTTTACATAGCAGTAGCAGCAGCTTTCAATCGGATTTCGTCCAGTCGTTATTTTAGCATTATTATCCCACGTTATATCGACCCCTCGATCGGAGGTCCAACACCCTGGCCAGAAGTCGACCATCGCGTGAGTCCACGCGCAATTTTTAATCTCGCGGCTAACACGCTCTTTGTTATTATACGTCTTACGTTTACGGATTCTTTTATAATAAATATCGAAATAAATATATCCCGCAGAGTGTATCTCCTATAGTGCGAAGCCGAACTTTGAAGATATGTTCCGGTGCTGGAATAAATAAATAAAGTGTTTGCGTAAGAGCATGGGGGAAAATGCTTTTCACGGATCTCTGAGTATAACGTTTTTCTTTCGAGCTGGAGCTTCAACGTGTGACGACAGGTTCTAGAATATATCCCCAAAGTTGCGATGTTTCTGACACTCCTTTCCGCAAGAACGCAAATTTTTGTACAGCGGACAGCCGCGTACGCTCGTTCCTCTATTTAAAATACCGCAAGTGTTCTTGCCACATACATAATTGCCACATTAATAATCTCACACATTATAACGTTTACTTTCAGACAAATACAATACACAATTTTTTAAATTTTGTTTTGGATCGAGAAAGCGAAACGAATTCTGCGACACAATCGACCCCTCTGTGCCGTTCGTCTTTTTTGAATAAATTTCCACTATTTGACATGGTCTCCTTTTTTTTCTTAAAAATCTATACGCAGTCTCCCTGATACATTTCAGACTAAATTCCGATTTGGATCCCGATTCTGTTCTGCGCCGAAATATCGAAGCGCGAAGTTTCGAAGACTTTGAAACGTCATCGATCCTCTCGCAAATCACCACAATCTCCCCAGAAACGCGGTTTCTCGAAAGTCTTGAGCTTCTCCCCGTTTCAGTGCTCATGCTCGCGGAATCGCGAATTCGACAAAAAGTGCTATAAGCCTCAAGTTCTCGCTTCGAAATTTGTTTCCGCGTTTGCGACGTCTCTTGCGTCGCGAAGAAAATACAAGCGCAACGAAAACGTCGAACGTCAGTTATGTTCTTATATCACTCATCTCATTCGCGTTTACCGTCGCATTTTAGGTATCGACGCGATTCGTCAAAGGTCTCGTCACGCGAGATCGAATCGCGCGAGATCGACTATAAAAGGTAAAAAAATATCACCGAGTCTTACGTTATTCCCTTCCCCCGTATGTTCGGCGGCGTTCAAAAATGCCTGAAAACGCGAGAGATTATACACAGATGTACGTTTATCTTTTTTTTTAATTTTATTATTATTTTTTTTTATTACGTATTTGTTTCCTCACGTGTGACACTCCGCATTGCCTCTTTCACTAAAGACTTACGACACCAACAGTAATAATTATATGCTTATAATACCTTAATTGTTATCGGGAGATCCTGAAATTCTTTAACACATCTATTGAGAGAAAGTATGCTTTAAAATTCGTTATAAAACAGCTCGAAGTCGCTTTTATCGCACCTTCCGGGAAACGGAAATCGTGTTTACAGCTTATATCCAGTATAATCGCTCGCGTAACGGCCTCCAAATCAGCGCGAATCCTCGTATCAAAAGTACCCGAATAATAGATCGAAATCATTGATTAATTGTACTCGTTAATTATACGCTGTCAATACGTATAACTACCGTCGCGTCCATCCGATGTACCTAGGTTCGTTTCGTGATCAACGGTCTCTCTCTCTCTGTCGTCGAGTCCCTTCCTCGCCGATCTACCCGTACGGGATCCAGCCGAGAATCTCGCGGATCTCTCCGCGATCGTCGCGAGAGACCGAGAGGAGGCGCGTGAACTCTCGACGGGCTCCTCGCACCCGCAGATGCATCCTCGCGAGTACGTATTACTATCCGCGACACTGCACCGTGTATATATGTGTATGCTGATCGCACGAGAGTGCGTGTTTAGTGTGCGTGGGTATTTTGTACAAGGTACAAACGCACGCGTGCCGACGCGTACATAGGAACGTCGCTGTTCGTTCTTCTTCTTTCGAGCAGCGATTATGTTTCTTGCTTCGAGTGGCGAGTGAACGATACGCGAAAGAAACTAGAGAATCTATCCTCAGAACCCTTTCCGGAATCTCCGAAGAGCACTTCCGCAAGTGGAAATTAGCTGAGACTCAATTTAGATCGACTTTAACATTCATGTGAATACGTATATGACCCATGAAAAAGGAAAGAAAGAACTCAAAGTACACTTATGTAAAAGATTGCATCTTCTGGCTGTATGTAAACTCAAGGTATGCGCGAGGTATTTAATTACACGAAGTCACAAAGGGATGAAAATGAAGAGCTCCGCAGTCTTGAGGTCACTATAGGCATGTCGGCGCGCGTACGGTTGACTTTGATTACTTTACGAGCCTTTCGATCGCTAAAGTCGTGTATCGCTCGACACAGTGCTCTTATTTTATTTGTTATTTTATTTAATTTTTTTTTATTAACTATATATTTCATCGGTATCTCGTTTCTCAGCAGCATCGAGAGTGCGCTACGACATTCCTCCTTTTCGCTCCGCCCTCGTCTCTCTCTTATTCTCACGTCGTATAATCTTGGTATAATCTTTTAAAGCTTTGTTTGGCACATATAATTAGAATGTATTTTAGTTTTACGGAAGAATTCGATTTAGCATTAAATCTCTCGCTCTTCTTCCTATATACCTCTCTCTCTTTCGTTTTCCCTAATCGCTAATTATTTTCACATACTCCGCTAGCCGTCCCAGCCAGCCCCCCGTGGCCAACTCCCTTTTTCCATCTCCTTCCCCTCCCGCCCCCCCCACCATTATTACATTTAAACACATTCATTTACAGTTTTACACTTCGCTACTTCGTAAAATTTACATCGAGTGTTTGCATCGCCCGTCGCGGTTCTACGCGACGCACAGAAGATTATCGTTATCCTTTCGATATATATATTTTTTTTACTTAAATAGGTTCTTGTGCTTGTGACTTAGCTTTTCTCCCCTCATCTACTCTCCCCGTTACTATTCGCCATCGCCGCCGCTCCCTTCATCCTCCATCCTCCGGCAGAAAAGCTCCCGGGAGCAACCGGATGCTTCCGGTGTCACGGCGACGACGATGACGATCGTACCGGGAGGAAGGGAAGGTATACCGGTTCCCCCCTCGATCCCGAGGGGCACCGGACACGCAATATAATTCCGAACTCGCGCGAACTCGCGTAGGTACGCGCGACATTCGGAGAGATATTAATACGTTATATTCATGGCAGTATCCACATCGCGTTACTTCTCGGCGAAACTCGGAGACCGGAGCTGCGTGCGTTTTGACTAGTGCGCTGACGGCCGGCACGCGCTTCCCGTGCGCGACGCGAACGAGCCCGCATTTCCTTTTCCCTCCTCTCGATTTTCTCCCTCAATTTCCCAATTCTCCGACGCAATACCGTCACCCCTGTCACCCACATCAATTTTTTAGAGTGAAAAGATTCCAGCTGTCGAGATTTCGAAATAATAATCAAACTGAGAACCCCCGGTTTCCCCAAGAGTCCGCGACTCAAAAAAGCTTAAGAACCACTGCCTCATTAAATATTCACGCGCCTTGATATAGACGATCGATATCAGTGCCGTAGGAAATTCGAGAAATTATCCGGGAATATTATGAACAAACAAAACCGTCCCTACGCTCTTACACGAGGAGGAAGGCTCGTTCACATCGCTCGGCGTCATATATCGTTAACCCCCCGACAAGGATATATTAGTTCGTGATTAATTCTTTTTACGCATTCATGGATACCAATGTAATTATGGAGTTATACAATTACGTTCGAGAGAGCGTTAAACTCCGACGTCACGTCGGGGGATAACCGAGTTATCCATGTAATTACTGACGATTAATAGAATTTCCACTGAAAAATGCGCGCGATCGGTCGACGCGCGGGAACAACGCGGTCGTCGAGGGGTTAATCTCTTGTTCCGTGGCGATTCAGTAGAGAATCGTTCGGAAGAAAATTCGCTAGCCTTTCTTCTCCTGGTCGATCGGATATTAGACGTCGCGTGCGGTCCGACGGTCCGGAGGGTGGGCTCGATGCGCGGCCCAAACAACCGGATGTACCCGTAACAACGAGCGTTATCGTTAGGAACAGGGTGGTTTGGCAGTCGCCGAATGCCAAACTCGTTCGCGGCAGTCGTCGGTCTCCTCGTTTCCGCTTTTTCGTGCGCTCTGAGAAACGCGTAAAACGGAGGAAAAGTAAACGGCAACATAACAACAATGACAATAATAATAATCGTAATAATAATACAGCGTTGCTTCGGTGTATGCATGTATGTGTGTGTGCACACGTGCGCGCGCGCGTGGTCGTTGACTCCCAATTCTGTGATGTGCTGATATCGAGCAGGAACCGCGAGGAGGGGGCTGTCCCCTCTCCCCGATGCAAAAAGGACGAAACGCGCATCGTCCGATTACTGATGTCATCCCATCGCGGTGCCGCGGTTCCTGCTGCGCCACTTGCATTTTACAATCCTCACGTAGGTCCTGCGGAAAGCCGCGTTGCATAAAGCGTACAACACTGGGTTCGCAGTACTGTTGATGTAGCAAAGGTAATAAAAGAGGTCCCATAGCCTCTGGGGTATGTGCAAAGTGCAGGCAGAGATGGACTTGATGAGTACCAGGACGTTATACGGGGTCCACGTGAAGACGAACGCAAACAGGATGGCCGTCAGCGTTTTCGCGGCCTTCTTATCGCGGCCTTCTCCGGCCTTTTGGCACTTTTTCTTCTTGTTGGGCTGCTTGTTCAGGATGCCCTTGCCCGTCAGTGCCTTCGGTATGTTCTTCGCGTTCAGCGGTATCCTGATGTCCGGCATCTGCGACGACCTTCTCGTCACCGTCGAGGAGGCCGGACTCGACACGGAACCGCCACCGAGACGGAAGAATTTGCTGGCACCGACGCCGCTGCCGCCGCCGCCTCCACCACCACCGTCGTCGCTATCTTCCATCATGCTGTGCAACTGAATCGACACGGACTCGTCATGGATCATCTTTATACTCGTCCCCTCGCTGAATTTTTCGCCGTTGCTCGGCAATTTGATCAGAATCGTATAAACCTGCAAACAAAGAAGACACGCGCATAGCATAGAATAGATACTATAGATCTTCGAGTGAGTCAATCGCAATAATATATAAGTTTAATCCTAATTCAATAATATGTAACTCTAATAGCATATTGATTTATCCCAGTAACTTGTTAAAAGATGATACTTGTTCTCTCGATTTCCAAATAGAAACGAATAGCAGTGTCACATACGGAATCGCTGGAGATAGTCTTGAGGTCGACCGGTCGCGTCGGCCTTTTGTACTCGTGCTGCAACACGGCCTTGTCCAGAACGATCCCCGTGGCCTGTATCGCGCTGAGGGAAGGACACCGTGATACCGTGCTGGGAAGCGGCGTCTCGGCCGACAGGGGCGTGAGCGTGTCCTCGTAGGCGACCCCGGTGCGGCTGCTTTCCGCCCCGGCGATCTCCTCGTCGTCGTCCTCGTCCTCTCGACCGCTGTGCCACCACGCGATGCACCACATCTTCAGCCAGGTCCAGGAAAACGGCCTGTGCTGCACGCCCGAAAAACGGAAAAACGGATAAGATCGTAGTCGCGGCGATGGTCGATCTAGAGCGTGCGTCCGCAAACGTAACTTTGCGTCATAGCGGAATACCGAATCTTTCCCGATTTTCTCCTTAAATTAATAATGAAAACGCAAGAAGATATGAAATTTTCATAGTAATAACGCGTATCAATCCCGAAATGCGCGAGTTGTGTAAGTACAAGGTTATAACTTTTCAGTAGCATTCGTAAAGACGAGAAAACGTGCAAAACTTATTCCCACTGGTGTACGCGCATTCAAAACTCACGCTTACGACTGTTACTTACGCTCTTGTATTCCGGGTAGTGCTTATCAATGTAGGAAACGGCGATGTGCGTGGCGTGCGAAACATCGTCGGCGGTGCTCGACTCGCTTCGCTGTCTTCTGCTCTCCTCCAGGTCTAAACCCTCGTCGCTAGAGGGAAAAGTGACGATAAGCACGTCAGATCGCATCTCGGTCTTTCGACCTCGCGATATTCGCAAAGCACACGTGTTCGCGTTGTCGAAAGGAGCATCTCGTTACGTAGATTAACGGAAGAATATTTTTCTCAAATTAAAATGAAACAAATAGAAAATATTCAAACAACAAGATCCGTAGATCTCGACAAAATAGATAATAAGTACGTATTGTTGTAAAGATTATGAACAAACATTAAAGAATAACGAGAAACAACATCAAAGTAATCATAAGGGAACACACACATTCAGTTCGATTTAATATCTCCAAGGAGGAAACAATAAGTACTCGACTAAAATAATATATCTTTATGAAAAGAAGAACGTAATTCTAAAACAATACGTTTCAATCGGCCATTCACTAGTGCATCTGTGCCCTAAATCAAGGGAAGGGCTGATCTTCTAAACGGGACAATGTGTTACCATCTTTCTTGTGCAGGGGTTGCCCGTGCGATTTTTTTTTTGTGACGTGCTGACGACAAGTTCGAAGGGAGAAACACGTGAAAGCGTTAGTTACCACCTCGAGTTGCTGCGCTTGCTCGCATCTTGTTTGCCGGCCTGTAAGTTTGGCAGCTCCTTCTTACGTTTCTCCGTCTCCCTCCAAATCCGGAAGTAAAGAACACACATTATAAGGACAGGAACATAAAACGCGGCGATGGCGGTGCCAAAGGTGATGTAGTGGTTAGTCTCGATGAATTGGATGTAGCATGCGTTTTCCGGCACGGTCCTTGTACCCTCGATGTACGGCCACGCGTAGATCCATGGTGGCCAAAGAAGCAGCGATATACCCCAAGCGGACCCTGGAACGATTAACGTCGCTTCGATTATTTTTCAACGAATACTATATTGAAGTATATTAGAATACCGTAATTTATTATAAGCGTAATATAAATTATTTTATCAGGATATTTATTTGAACTTTGTAAGAGAGACGTGGAGCAGTTTTAAATCACAAATGAAAAACAAAATCTTCAAAGAGACACGTTCGACAAAAGTCAAAGTTTCCCGAGTCTCGACAAAGTTCTCCGAGAATTCTCTGATTTCTTCAAGCAGAAAGAAAAGATTCTCCAAGAATGAAATGATACTCACCGATCATGATGGCCGCTTTGGTTGTGGTCCTCTTGGCCCGATAGGTAAGCGGGCGCGTGACAGAAAAGTACCTATCAAAGCTGATTATAAGAAGATTAAGGACCGATGCATTGCTCGCGAGATAGTCAAGTGCGAGCCACGTGTCGCACACGTGCGGTCCGAGCGGCCAGTAACCGAGCACCGTGTACAGCGTAAAGAGGGGCATGGAGATTAGGCCGATCGCGAAGTCGGCCACCGCCAGGCTGAAGAGGAAATAGTTGGAGATCGTTTGCAGTTGCTTGTCAATCTTGAACGATATCATAACCATAATGTTGCCGATGACCGTGGCGAGACTGAGGATGACGGCGAGAAGTATTATAACTGCACGCTCCCAAAACGTATATTGAATGGGCTCACCGCCACAGTCGAGACCGTTGGTAGAGACGCTGTCATTGCCGAGTAACTCCACCGTCGGAGTAACGTTCATGTCTGACGGACTATCTCTTGTCCTCTCCCTGTCTCTTTTTCTCTCTCTCTCTCTCTCTCTCTCTTTCCCTCTCTCTTTAATTCGAAAAGTCGTTCCAGCGCTCCGCGTCCGGTACAGTTACCGGTTCGCGCGGGCGATCGCGCGTCCTCTGATTCTCTCGCGAATGGATCTCTGGAGCTCTCGGCTCGAACCCCGTTCCTCGGGGCACCACCGCCGGTCCCGCGTAGCCCGCCTCACCCTCGCCCGTGCTCTCGCGTACCCCTTTACCATGCGCGCGGCAGGTACGCTGACGAAGCGCGCGTTCGCCCACGCGCCCGTGCGCGCGCACGCACGCCCGTCCGCACGCACGCACGCACGTACGCGCGAACGCGCGAACGCCACGCTTCCGGTACTCCTCGTCGCTGGACACCAGAATTCGGCGAACGGCACCACCTTCACCGACGCTACCGTCACGTTCTCTTCCCTTCTCCTCTTCCTCCTCCTCCTCGCCCTCGTCCTCGTCCTCGTTTTCGTCGTCGTCGTCGTCGTCGTCCTCCTGGTCCTCGTCTTCCTCCTCTTCCTCTCCCTCCTCCTCCCCCTCCTCCTCCTCCTCCTCGTCCACCGCCTCCGTCGTCGTGCTCTCGCTAGGTGGAAGGTAGTGTCAACTACATCCCACGTTTACTCCTCTCGGTGGAGACATTGAATCTGCGGGCAAAGAGCGGATATGCCGAAAAATTGTATCACGAATTATTAGCGTAATAATCTTAATGAAATCATATCACCAATTGGGACCGATATCTATTTTCTCGTATAAGTATATATATATATTCGGTACATTTATATTTACTCCGATATTATATTATATTTATTTCATTCGACGTTGTCGAAGTAAACGTTGAATACCAAAAGTCTACCTGTGAGAAACATAGAAACGCTTTCGTATACGAATACTTCTGTGCGATGACAAATAAAAGAACTTGAAATATAAACTAATACGTGACTTTTAGTAAGAGGTAACATCTGCGCAATGTGCTAGATTAATTCCCCTGCTGTCGAGACACGGGGCTGTCGACACGAGTGTGCTCGCGTCTTGTTTCGCGCGACGGACGACCTGTCTTAAATCCTTCGTCTACCGTCATCGCGCACCGAGAGTCACTGTAGGGGCGTAATAAAGAAGAGACAAAAAAAGAGACGAGAGAAGAAGGGAGAGAAAGTTCTTTTGTCGTACTTCGGCGCGGCACGAGACTACTGTCAGACGAACCGCGAAAAGCGCAACCAATGCCGCGGGGCTTCCACTCCGTTTCCGCTGACGGATCAGCGCGGAAGGCTTTTACACTCCTTTTTTTTTCTCCCCTCTCTCCTGACCGCCACTTCATCTTTAACGAGCTGCTTATTCGCCACTTCATCTTTAACGAGCTACTTATTTGCCACTCACTCGTGAACCGGAGCGAGTCTCTGGTGCATCGCGTATCTCCAAATACATCTCAAAGCGCGTTCGCACTTCCGTTTCCAGAGTACACGCGACTATGAATGAGCTTATTCCGCGATTCCCGCCTGTGTCAGCTTGTACACGTCGCTTATATCGAACTCGAGAGTGAGAAAACGGATTATCGATGATCAGACAGAGGTCCTTTTTTTCCTCTAACGGCGCGACCTCCTGAATCTTAATTCCGTAGAAATGTTAGCCACATCGAAGAATCTTTCGTGCATTATTCTTTATAAAAAAAAAACTTATATACGAAACTTTCAGATCCGATGTTGCATTTCTCCGTTAACGAGAGATTTACTTGTTCCGTTGAAAAATTCAGAAGATAGAGAGATTAACTTTTACCAGGACTTCGGACACGTGCGCGAAGAGTACTCGAGATTTCCCGGTGTAATAAGCGCGTTTTAATACGGGAAGTATAACGCCGTCGGAGCGCAGCTTGCGCCGGAAGAGGTCGGTCGAAAGTTCGAAACTTGTTATCGTCTAGAATCACAATTCGATCGCGTTTTCCTCGCGCTCTCGTCTCGTCGTCGAAGACGACGGTGCCAACTCGCGGGGTGTACGACGGCGCTCCAATTACTGACGTATTTCACTTGCCGGGTTGTCCGCTTAAACGGGCGCCGCTTCGCCGCGGCGCGCCGGCCTTAATACGCTCAGAAAATTTTGCGAGTGTCACGAATTAGATCCGCCTGTGCAGCGGTGCATCCGAAAGGGCCCGTCTCGCGAACCCAGTTAATTTGTACAATTAACTGACGTTTGTAGCACAGGCGGATGAAATATAGGAGACGGCAAATAAAGTGCATTTACATATTAAATAAATAACTTTCAGTTCCCTCCTAGCGTTTCCACGATCAAAGGTTCTCATATTGAATCGTGAACGGAAAAAAAGGACTCGGAGACTTTAAAGAGTAGCTGTTCTCGATTCGATTAAATTTCGTTTGACTTTCGCAAGAATTATAGGACGTCAGCAGGCTTTACGTACGATCGGAAGGCCTGTTGCGAATTAAGCCCCGGAGATGAGAATCAGTAAGCAAAGTTTATCCTTAATTTAATTTCGGGGGTGGATTTTTCTGTAATAAAACGTCCGGCTTAAACTTTGAAGTTTAACTTCAAATTAAAAGTGGTTCGGCCGCCGAGAACGGACGGCCCTCCCGATCGAAGGATTCCTTCGAAAGAATGTCGCGAGTCTTGTCTTTGCCACGTGGGAACACTGGGGGGAGCGGAGGAACGTCCACGAGGGAAGTAACGTACTCGATAACTGCCATAATTGCGACAGATTCCTCATCGAATGCGGCCAGTTCGATATCCCTGGCGAGGCGGTCGAGCTGCTGCTGCGGCAAGGGCGTGGAAGGATGCATGTTGCGCCAGGTGTGCAACGCGATTACCTCCCCGTTAAGTGCGCATGGCATGCTCGACGCCTGTAATTATAGAAACGCCAGCGATATTTAAACCTTTTTGCGAGAGAGTGGCCGTGCAGGAATATTTCAGGACTATCGCGAATACTGGATAGCGACGAATTAACGTTCCCCCTCCTCGGGAGAATCCAACAGCTCTCGACCATTCGCACGAGAGAGGGAAAACCCCTTTCCCTCGAGCGCCGAGTTCGTTTGGGAAATATTTAAAAGGATATTTATTACTACGTTACTACCTATCTTCCGTGACTGTTTTTACAATCTTATACAACCGTGCGGCGCATAAATAAATCCTCGAATCTGCGTCCTGAAGTTTAAATAATGCACGCACGTCCTCTCCTTTTAATCCTCAAACTCATCCAGTATTCGCGAGGAGCCCAAAATTAGTTTCTCCTCGCACGAGAACGGAGAGCTGTCGGGAAATCATATGCGATATATTATTCGCGCTGAATCAATGGCGTTTTACGCCGCGCCGGTCGACATTTACCGCGCCGGCGAGAACAAAAGCGCCATGTACTTTGCCGTTTGTTATTCGTTGGTATTAACGCGTTTCCGCGGACTGTGTTTCTCTCGCGCGACGAGTAGGCGCAAACTTCAGTATCGAGCTTCTCTCGTAACGTTTGCGAAGGTCGAACGGCGTTCGCGTCCGCCTCGAGATAATCGGAAGCGAGTGACGGGACGTCGTTCGAAAATCGATGCCGGGCTTGTAATTTTTACCTTACGCCGTCTAACGACGGCATTGAATTGTTCATCCCTCTGGGTAGCCTCATTTCATTATACGTCGAACGTATGCATATACATATGGAAAAGCTCCGCGAATCGGAGCTTAATAATTTCTTAATAATGACGTTTTTAACATCCGAATACAATATTTCTCTTCATTTTATGGACAAATCCCCTTCATATCGCTCGCACGATACACCCAATGAGGGTGTACAGGGAATCACGATATTTCGCAACATAGTCTAAATCTAAAATGTATTCTTGAATGTATTCTTAATGTTGCACGTGCCATATACGGAAATTACACGCGGCAGGATGTTTAGTTTGACTACTAAAGCGCAACAGAGCGTTAAAAGGTGGTCCCGGGACGAAGGCGTTTAAATCGCAGTGGATGCTTGCCAAGAGGTCGACGGTAATATTATGGCGCTATCGCTACTTTACGCACTATGAACTCCGCGGTTTCTTTTTTTTTTTTCTTCTTTACGAGAAAGCTCATGGCCGCGTCATCTCGTCTCAACCCGATTTCTGCCGTGAAAAGAATGAGCATGCAACCATCTAGCTGTGAATGGTGCAGAATGACGCGTGAAGATTTAATGATTTTTGAAAATATTGAGATCGCGCTTTCCGAAGCAAATGCGAAATTATCATAATCCAACAGAGAGAGCCCGACGTCATAATCGACTTTGAACATATTCGCGAACGCCGGGGACTAACACGGATAGTCAACCAGCACGCGTGATTTCTTCCGCCTGTGGAAAGAATTCCCGATTTTGCCGCGTTCGCGGATATAAAAGCGGTTGTGCGCTCGGGCGGAAAACCTCGGTTTCCCACCGTCGCGTCGTCGTGCTCGCATTTTGGTTCGTATAGAACGGCTAGCATGTCACAATAGTGTAACTATGGCTACACCGCCTCGCAGGGTATCCGATCCGCTGGAGAATAGACGCTATAACGACGACGAGAAACGCTCGGTGGTTAGTGGCTGCGCTGACCCTACATCGCCGCGCGACCTGCTCCATAAATAAATATAGAAACGCATGGAAACCCGCGGTCTCGTTAACGGCGTTACCTTCGTGTAACGAACACTGGCCTTAATTAGTTTGTTAATACACCCGGACGACTCCGTCACGTATCGCCGTCAGTTTCCCGCGCGATTCCGGAAAATATTAACGATGTGCCGCCGGTCGCCTCGGGGCCTTAAGGACTCCGCCTTCGATCTAGGACAAACCGGTGGAAATGATTCGGCGCGATTCGCCAAGTGAAATCTCTTGGGACCGTCCGTCTGAGGGTGTACAAGAACGACGGATGTCCTTTCGCGATTTGGAGGCGGAGAAAAGCGCCTAGGACGCCTTCAGAAAGGATTAAAATACTCGCGTTTTTTTTTAAACTTAAACGCGCTGAAATTTAATTCTCAATAGTTTTCGCGTCCACGAGATTACCGGCGTGATACCGTGAAGATAATTAAAAACGCCACGGTAGTTGGCAGTTTCACATTTTAGCGGATCGGTGAATCGCGGCGTTCACGAGGCACTTATCGTACCCGTGGCATCGCGGCATTACGGAGAGAGAGCGAGTCCAGTGTAATGCCGTTTTAAAATAACGCCGGTGACAGCCACGGGTTGCAGGCGTGCTGATAACTGCGTGTCGCGCGCGCGCGCGCGCGGGTGCGCATTCATCGCAAACAATGCGAACGATCTTTTAAAAGAGATCTACTTCGCGCACCTATACAGACGGCGGATGATGAGTATTAAAATCGCTTGCGTCACTGTCCGCGATGTTCTCCGTTAAGTGGACAGGCGGTAGACCGCGCGCGCGCGGGCGCGGGCGCGGACGCGAGGCGCGATTATTCGCTGCCAGGATGCGTGTCTAATAATACGTAATGCACAATGTTCGCCGTATCGCGCGATCGGATCGAAGTCCTTCGGCTTCCCACGCCCACGGAATATCACGGTTCTCTTGTGCGCGGGAATAAATAAATGTACATTTGCTCGCGCGAGAGCTGTATGACCGAGAGAAAGAGCTTGATCCTGAATGTTCTACGAAATTTCCTCTTGACGTAATAAGAGCGAGAAGAGAGAAAGAGCTAGAGAGAGAGAGAAAGAGACAAAAATAAACATTGCGACTCGTGTATTCTGAAATGATGTACGTAAAGGATATTTTTCTTTAATTTTCAAAACAATTTTCCGAAGAATTTCGTGAGTCGCTGCGTCTCGCCGATCTTATTCGCTACGCTCCTATTCGCATGACTATAACAATAAGACTCGCGGGAGAGACATGAGGAGAAGAAGACGAAGTCACAATTGCGGAAGAGAGTCACATGGAAAAATAAACGCGATATGGTTTTCGCATCAGCGACGCTCCGGCGTTCCCCCGTGCGATCGCGATTGTGCCCGGGCAAAAGATATTTATCCTGAGAAAGGATCCGTGTGTAAATGCACCGACTGGCGGAAAATTTAAAAATAATGTTTCAGCCGCGTGTAATAATGTAAACACTTTTATCGGCTATCGATTTCGGTCGACCTGCGCCGCTTCTTTTATTATGGGGAGTATATATCGGGATACGTGATCCGAGCGTGATTGCGGCTAACTAAGTCTAAGTCGCGGGGGCATTAACGAAAAGTCGATCCCGTCGATCGGCTTTTGCGCGGGCCACCCGCTCGGTATTCCCTCGCCTCGGAAAGATAGCGTTTTGATCGTGCCGGGGCGTCCTGCCGCGCGCCCACGAAAATTGATAACGTTTATAACGCGCTGGAGGGGGCGAGAGCGCGCGTAAAACATATTAATGACTAAATGGAAAAAAAATAGCAGAAGGTCGTGATCCACTTATATGCATCTCTCCGCTTATTACGAGGCGTTACAGCCGGCGGCCGTGTTGCGGCCGCCCCGGCGGCTACACAGTTGAACTATAAATAAATTTTCCGATACGCTGCTCTTTTTGCCGATGAAAAAAAAATATATATATATACCCACACACACTTATACGTATTCTTTCCCTGCACGCGCGTAAATTGCGCCGTGCATATTTTTACGGGCCCGTTCGTGCACGGTCGCCATTAACGTCAACCGACCTCCGGATCCGCGCGCATCCCGTTGTAAAAAAAAATCCCCCCTCTGCCTCGAACGCGAGTCCGCGAGCGCGGAAACCGCGTTTCGAAAATCGAAGTCCATCGGAGTGCCGCCGCGTAGACCAGAGAGACCGCCGTTAATAACCTTTGATATTTCATTAATGAAGAACACTTCTTTGTTTCTCGCTCGGAAAGGTTACGGAGGAACGTAATAATAAAGCGTCGCTTCTCTGGACGTTAAACATTTGTCTCCCTCTCGTGTGCCGGAGAGCGCGAGAAGCGTAGCGTATACTGTCAGGAATGATAAAATTCCGCGAACCGCCGCGGCCTATATTTCTTTTTGTTCGCGCTTGCGGTGAAGAAAAAAAAAGGAAAAGAATTGGCTCTTCCGATTCGATCGATAAATATTAAACTGCGTTAATGTACAAACGGCCATATCGATCACACATTAAATTGGGCGGAATACGGACTAAATCGGGCGGAGACGTTTGCATAATCGCGCGGTTGCACGCGGTCGAAGATGTGCCGCCTCGATACCCCCCTCCTCCCCCGTCAAAGCCACCGCCGTCGTTTGTCGGCGGATTAAGGACGGAATGAGGAGGGATTTTCGATTAGGGAAAAAGGAATCAATCGTGTATCAATCGTCGCGCACGCCACCCCCGTTTTCCCAGGGTGAAACAGGTGGCACTCGCCTATTACCGCGCTGCGGCTTTTATTACATTTTGCTCGCTAGTCGACATAAATGGGACATGTCGATCGAATTACTTCTAACGCGCGCCATACCTGACGATGAGGTGGACTATATCGGCGGATAGCTATACGGCGCGGGGTAGGTCGGGGATGTCTCTTAAGAGAAAACGGTAGATGTATGTATAACCTAATTCGGTAAAGGGGTACAACACATAGTCGACCGGCCAGGTATCTCTCGTCGATATGTACGGTGCATCGCAAGTCCCGCCGGGTCCCTCCCTACCTGTCGGATCCGCTTCGCTTCGCGGATTTCGAGTTGAGCTTTCTTTAGCAAAATTTTAAAGAGCATTTAACCCGATAGCTCTCGCTAATCCGCGATATTTAACGCCGAAAAAAAAAAGAAGAAACAATAGAGGCGGAAGGGAAAAAAAACTTCAAACGAGTTTAAAAGGCGCTGTATATAACGAGAAGTATGTTACGTGATTATAAAAATAGAATTTGAAAGGGGAAGGGGTTGACGGTGCCAGAAGCACAGTAAGGTTCGTCTAATCGTAAATCTTCGGGTGAGTTTTCTCGGCTGAAAAACGGATCAGCTTCCTAAAAGCCTTTGAGAATCCGCGACTGCTCGAGAAAACGCGATTTCCTGATACACCCTTTGTAGCATTCGCACCGAGGCCTTCGCTTTCGCGTCAAAGAGCGAGGTAAGAATTCGAGATGCATAGGATCGAAGTCGGAGCATTACTCTTTCCTCTCGCGGATACCACGGGGGACCAACGACTCCCCTGTTTCTATTTCCTAATGGATAGGAAATAGAACGCGTGTATAGCGAGTGATTCGCCGCTCGATTAAAATTCACGTGATCTCGTTCCTTCGTTTACCCATCCACTTAATGCTTAAACTGACGTTAACGTATATATATAAGATCGGGATGTCGTGAACCCCGCGAGATAGATCGTCTTCTAATATGAAATTACAACCGCGTATATAGTTTACGCGACGAACAAAAGTCTTCAGGTATCATTTCTCGCGAAATCTCTTCTCACGGACGATAAGATCGTGCGGGGAAAGGGAAGATTCGAAATTAACGAAATATTTTGCTTTTCGATAAGGCGAAAATGGCATAGCGGACGTTATCATTATCGCTGGAAGCTGTCACACGTTCAGCTGAAAAACAGGACAGGCGACAGATTGTTATCGTGGATTGTAATAGATTCGTTTTCACTTCAGCTGCCACTTTTCGCACTTATCTACACTTTTCCTCTTTCTCTCTCTCCTTATTTTTTTCTCCCTCTCGTTTTTCTTCGCCAAGCGTGAACTATAACACGCCGTTTCACTTAGAGCGCCGAGAGTCTAATAAAGTGCAGCTGGAAAGAACGGATCCAACATGCAGAGGTCGGGTCAGGGGAATTCAAAATCGCTCTCGTGCGATGCGACCGGAACTGCAATTGCAATTTAATATCGTACGAAATGTTGCCTACGTCCGCTCGATTCGATCGTCGCCTTGTGACTTCCAAGTATGGTGCCACCCTTAAATTTAAAAATACTTCGTGATAATATTTGTCTAATTGGTATCTTAAACCCGCGCGTCGCAGTCGATTACTAAACTCTTTTCCGAAGGTATCGACATGTTTTCGATAATGAGGGGAAAAAATTTCAATGAATTAAGAGGAACGAACGCAGATAAAATTGATATTGTTGTAAATACGCGCGCAATTATCGTCTCTTTTAGCGTCAAGAGTTGGAATATGATATCAAAGCACCGAAAGCGCCGATAAAATCAGTAAGATTCGCTTGCGACTCGAAGCGGAGGTGACATAACGGCGACGACACGTACGGTCGAGCGATAAGAATCCTATGTTAATCTTACGTAAAGCCGGAAGTGCATCGTCGGTGGTGCCGATCGTGTCGCGAGTAGCGTCTTGCAAGTCGCGAATTGCAAGCGGAAACGCGTCTCCGCCTATGGGAAGATAAATGCCGGATTAAATCGCGAATGCTCATTTTGAGAAACAATTTCCTTCTTGCTCACATTACGCACAATCGGCTCGTTTATGACATTCGTTATCACGATGAGATCGAAAGCTATCGATATATTATTATTAGCACTGTCTGCTACAGCTTGTATCTGAATCGGATTCGCATTTTTTTTTACAGATATACCATTTTACATTAACTTTTTAAAGTCTGAAGGACTTTTATTCATCTCTTATTTCACATTACCCGTCTATTAAACGCAAACGAATTAAATTGGAAATAAAATCATCGTCCGCAAGCGCCATAAATCTCAAGAAAATACAAGTGTCGGTCACATAATTAACAGCCAAGTGTAATACGTAGCGTTTAATGTTAAATTCGAATATTCTCGATCGCAGAGAAGGAAAGGAAGAAAAAGAGAGAATGAGAGAGAGAGAGAAAGAGAGAGAGAGGAGCGAGAGATTTCCAATTAGCTGTTACTTTATTAGTTCATTACTTTATTATCTATTACTTTATTAGCTCATACGTGCAGAAGCTTAAATCACAATTGCGCCTCCCCGCGCCAGCAAGCACGTACGCACGCGTGCACAGACGCGCGAGCCAAAACCGCGTATGTGCACGTATGTACGCACACGCGAACGGCCGCGGGAAAAACGGCGATCGGACGCGAGTTATCTTAATGAAAAACGATATCTTCCGCTCCTTCGTCTATCGTCAGTTTTATTTTCGAATTCCCCGCATACTGAAAAACTCTCACGTACCATCCCCCTCGTCAATAACGCGGAAAATCACCGCGTGCATTTTTACAGATAAACAATCGACGCGGCTCTCCATGCACCTGCGAGCCCGACTTTCGATACTCGTGTATCGTCGATTGTATAATAGATTAGCGAAGAGACCGTCGTGCTTCTTTTTTTACGCTCTCTTCCTTCCTCTCTTTCTCTCTTCCTCTGTTTGAAATAAATTAAAAGCTGGGATTATAACAGATATCGATGACGGAAACTTGGTTGCGAGTTCACAGCAACGTCGGAATTGATCAAATATGTCCAAGCAATCGTATGGTGGGCTATAATGCACGCGTCGTGGGCGATTTGTATTTCATTGTACGTATAAATCTATTATCGATTCTCCCTTTTAACTTACACTGAAAGATTTATGAATGCAAAGCTAAAGCGTTATTTGCGCGCGAGCCGCAATATGAATGGACGATTATTTCCGAACAATTGGCGTGACGAAATCTTACTCTGGGTCAACGTTTCTCTTCCTGTTTCGCGCGGCGGAAATACCGTGGATAGCCGAAAGGATTACCGCGTAATAATCCGTTTACTCTGTCGTCGTCGAACAGTTACGAAATCGAGGTCCATTCGCATCCGGAGCAAGTGAATTTGCAGAAAGGTCCACTTTGCGTCGCGCGAATCTCTCGCGGCACACCAAAGGGGAAAGCACTGCTACGGAAAAAAAAACACTCTCCGTCTCCCGAGAGAATTTCCCGAACGCTGGCCCGCGCCGTGCGGAGAATCATCCCTCACCGAAACTCACCCCGGGCACGCAACCACGCTCCGATTCCGAATCCGAGTCCGAGTCCGAATTGAGTTCACCCGAGGACACGGGGGCGGCCGCCCGCCCGTAATCGCGTTATTTAGGGTTCCTCGAGGACACGGGGGCCGAGGCGAGCCGAGCGAGAGACGCGACGCGACTAGCCAGGGTAGTCCCCGAGAAAGTAAACCACCCCGAAGGAAAAGTAGGGTGGCTCGTCCGGCAGCGTGCTCGTTACGCCGTACCCGCCCAACGCCGAGGGAGACCGATCTCTCCGCGATTCTCGCTCGGCGACACCGGCCGATAATCGGCGCGATAGCAACGGGGGACAATACCAGGGCGGAGATGGGAGAGATAGAGAAGAGGAGAAGAAACATAGAGAGAAACAGAAAAAGAGAGAGGGAGAGAGAGAGAGAAAGAGAGAGAGCTGCCACCTTCTACACCCCCGAGCTATACTCGCCCGTGTCGAGTGCGTCACGCATCCTCTCGGTATTCCTGGCGCGAGGCGGTTGGAGGCTGCGGCGATGCGCGAACGAGGCGAGGCGATGCGAGAGACAGGAGAGACCCCGATCCTCCCTCTCGAGAGCGAGCGAGCGAGCGAGCGAGCAACCACCCCTCGTCGGCGCGGTCGTGGCGGTCTCGTCACGGAGATCCTTCTCTCTCGCGAGTCGCGCGCGTTGCGAGAGTCCGCGACAAGCTCCGCTTCTCCGCCGTGCGTCTCGGCCGGAGGGTGCGCACGGGATCGAGAGGGCGAGGGCGAGGGCGAGGGCAAAGAGGAGGGAGAGAGGGATGAAAGTAGGCGGCGGAGGGCGGGCGGGCCGAGGGATTCAGAGAAGGCGCTCTCGCACTCACATGTCTGTCGTGTGAAATCGGCGTGCGCGCGGCGTACTCCCGTATCACCGACGACGGGGTACGCGCGAGGACGAGCGCCGGTCCGGGCCCGCGGTCATCACGCCGACGAGGATGACGCTGGCTGTTTCCTCCTCCCCCTTCTTGTCGGCGCTGGGCTTGTCGCCGGTTGTACTGCGGGCTGTTGCTCTTTGCGCGCGCTACTCGCTAATCGACGACGGCGAACGGCCGTATGTCGTCCTCGTCCTCGTCGTCGACGTCGACGTGCGACGATCTCGCGCGGTGTGCGCGCGTGGGACCCCGTTAGACTGTCGCCGACCGACTGACGGACGCGTGAACGGTTACACGCATGGTTTAACGCGGCCCCGAGACATGCTGTCGGGGTGAGACGCGCGTCCGTACCCGCGGCCCGAACGTGCTCCGAACGTGCTCCGAACGAGATGGAGGAAGAGGAGAGTCGGATAGGGGTGGCGGGATGGACAAGCGAGCGCGAGGATGCGATTGAGCGAGAGAGAGATCGAGATAATGCTCCCGCTCGAAGGGTGAGAGATGAGGAGAGGGGGGCAGAAAGAGAGAAAGAAAGGGAAAGGGTAGAAAGAGCGAGACCAAGATAAAGGAGAGAGAGAGAGAGGAGGGGGCGCGCGTAAAAGGAGCCGCGTTAAACACGGATGCTCCACGCGTAAATCGCGAGCTCGCCGATGATGCTGGCGCGGGATCGGAGTAGAGACTGAATGCGATGGTAGTGGTGATGATAGTGGTGGTGATGCTGATGGGCGCTTCTCGGGCAAGGGAGATAATTTAACCTCCGCTTTCTCCTCTCTCTCTCTCTCTCTCTCTCTCTCTCTCTCTCTCTCTCTCTCTTTCTGCGCGATTTTGTTCGAGTGACTCGGAAGGGATGCGAGCGAGGGAGAAGAAATCAAAATGCGGACAAAGAAAGCGAGAGAATTGACTATAGGAACGAAGAAAGGGTGTTTGGAAGAGGGTAGCGAGAGAGAAAGAGGATTAGAAATATAGGAGGGGAGACTCGGAAAAATGGGGGAGAACAGATTGGTGTGCGTGTATATATGCATCTCGATGTGCGCTTGTGCAGCCTTACGAGCAAGATGGGAAACGGGAGAGAAACAGAGAGAGGGAAACGACAAACGGCACTATACTCCGATAACGTTCGCGCTGGGACCGCGAGGCGCACTAAGGGCGTGGGCAATCCGCGAGCAAGCAAGCAAGCTAGCGAGCGAACGAGCGAGCGAGCGAGCGAGCGAACAAACGGGACCGGTGCGAACGACGGCGGACTACATTGATTTTGATTTTCGAAGGCGCGCGCATTTGGTGCTCTCTGGATCTGCCCATTCATGCCGCTCCCGTCTGCCTGGCTGCCGAGGACATTGGTCCTGTCCGCGTGCGAAAAGGGGATCGCGTAAGATTTCGGGGGGTTGCATGGCGGGCTGCAGCTCCAAGATTTTCGATCTGTTTACGAACGCGAGCGCGACCGCGTTCAAAAACTTTAACGAGCCAAATACATATAGTGATATTAAAGCAATGAAAAACAATTTTATTATTATTATTATTGTTATTATAATTATTATGTAAAAGAATGTCCGTTCTTTTTATGAGAAAACTGATTGCGTTATTAACTTTTCTTTTTAAATAAATACGCGGAGTTTGCAGCAACTACAAATGTTTATTTAAATGATTTATTTGAATTTGCATCGTTGTTTAAGGAAAAAGGCTTGATACATCGGTCATTCTCATACGGAAAGAACAGATTAAAAATCATCTTATCTCATGATTTATTAGACAGACACATCTAATAGGTAGAGACATACAAGTCACTTGTAATGTCGCGCGGCATCGTAGCGTGCACGCAGCGATATTAAGTTTTACACAAGGCGGTACCAAATATATGAAGATAGAACAGAGTAAACCTGTATACGCTTCCTTCCCATCATGCCATAGTTTCATCTATGCTCCCGCAGAAGACAAGCGCTCGCGCGACTGCGTGTGATTCGCAATTTCCACGATTGTTCTACTTAGCAATAAATAAATATCCATTAAACGGAATTTAGATCACATGAAGTATCCGAAGCCGAAGGTCCGTTTTATGGCGTCCCAGTAATACCTGTCCCAATTCTCCTTCGTAGAGAGCTCCTCGCTGGAAATCGCAACATTTTCGACATTATCAATCTTACTTGTCAATAATACGATAAATCGTATCAGAAAGTCATCGCACTCGAGCTTACCTCGTTGGGACACCACTCTGCGTTAAATTGACCTCAGTATGATCGTTCTTCTCACAAATATCGATCGTTACTTCGCTGAAATGTTCGGACGGCCATTGTTTACAACGCCACTTTTGAATAATCTTTGTTGGTGTAATCTCTATGAATTCGCCATGAATATTGCCGCTGAAAAGCTCGAATTCACCATTCTTCTTCGCTTCTAGTTTTACCGGGTTCTTCGTGAAGGCTTCTACCATCTGTGAGAATTAAAGACTTTCTTGTATAAGTAGGCTAGTAGGGAGTTAGACTACATCAATAGCTTATCGTGAGACAATTCAGTAAAATTATTACCTTGACCGAAGAGAGAACATTGTAAAACTCTTCCGCTCTGCATTGGAACTTTATATTTTGCTTAATCGTAGTGGTTGAGATTTTACCCATCGTTTTATTATTGTTCGTTGGGGTCACTGCGGCATTCATTTGCATCTTGAAATAGAATAAAACATTGTTAGTTGCTTTATCCCTTTATATTGTAAATAGATCAAGAGACACGGTAGTATCTCCTGCCCAATTGTACACATTACATACCTTGACATTAAAACCAGATGTTATATTCGAAATATTTTCCTTCACATTATCTTTTTTGGGAAGTATCATTCCTTTCGTAAATTCTGCAAATAAAAAAAAAGATGGATTACATAAAGATGCTACATTATATGTTTTTAATATAACGAACAATTTACATTACAAATTGGAAAATCAGTAGCTTACCTTCTTTTAAGGAAGATACATATTTCTTCAATTTTTCTCTTATTGCATCTTTACCTTTAGTATGTAAGAATTGTTTAACTTTTTCCCCTTCATCCGTACTATCTTTTAGTGTAATTTCAACCTACAAATCACGAAATATACATTTATTAAAATTCTTGCACAACTTAATAAACTAAATATCAAAAGAAAATGATTACTGATTAAGAAACCAAAATTGAATTAAAACGAATAAAAGTTTGAGCCGAATTGTATAATTATATATAATTCAATTAAAAATACTTACATCTACCTCGCTGATATCATTTTCTTCAGAGAGATTGGGAATATTAATTTTACCCTCAATGTTCTCGGTGGATTTTCCATTTGATACCCACTTAAGAACGATATTCCATTCATAAAATACAATAAGTTTCCCTTTTCTGTTATTTGCTACTGCCTCACCTTCACATTTTTCCATTTCTGTTATTTTACATAACACTACAAATTAAATAAGATTTATTACAAATATAGTTGCTCCGATAAAAATGTATAAATACTCGCTCTAATTTTCCAATTTATAAAATACGTGTTACCAACCTCCTTCTCCCTCGATTTTTGAATTTACAAACAGTTCCTTCAATTTTTCCTGCGACCACGCACAGGCATTCTTCTCCGTCCTGCGGGATAATTTTAATGCGTTAAAAAAGTGCAATGTACGAAGGATAATGGACACTTTGAAAATTGACAATTAAATGCCGATATATATTTTATCAGACTGAATTGACTTAAAGGATATCGACTTAAAGACATATCCCTATTAATACAATTATGTCAATCAACGTACCAATGCCAATTATTAACATTGGTTGCGTCAGGCCTTTCCTCCACGATCCAGCGTGGATCGCCCTCGCCCCATTTTGCCATGCTTCCAAGATTGGCTGTCGGAGAATCTAACAACAACGATTATTCCAATTCACGTGCCAAACTGGAGCACGGGGCAAGTTTCAGACTCGTGCCGACGGAAGTAACGAGGGGATGCGGTGGTAACCTTCTAGCTCAACTTTACACTTTACAGCCACTGGGATTCAACCTGTGTAACATAACCTATGATTAAAACGGCGACGAGACGCTCGCGCGGGTCATTAACGTCGACGCGAGGCCCGTTAACGAGCGAGATTCATCGGGATTTGCGAGTTTCGCGTTCGTACTTACGCACGAGTCGTCCGACGAACGGCGGTTAGGCAAGCGTTTCGAGTTTGACGTCGGGTCGGGCTGAGTTTTTTTCGTGACGGCTCGCTCGTAAAATTGTTCCACTTAAAGCATTTGCGCTTCGAGGCGACGACGCTTCGCCAGACGGTTTATCGTGCGACGGCGACAGGACCCGCTGTCGAAGTCAACAATCTCGACTGGTAGGTACTGCTCCGCTAGTTCGCTCGCGGATCGCCACGGAATGAACGGACTGACTGAACGGAGTCTGGCGTCTGGCAAATGCCGTGAAACGAGGAGAAACGAGCCTGGCTGCTGGCGCCCGATCCGCGGAGCATTCTCGGGCATTCTGGAAACTTCGACTGGCACAGTACCGAGATGGCGCACTGAGCACTCACGCGTGATTTGATGATTTCCTTTCCGCCGTCGCATTGCAAATGGCGGAATTTCGTCCGCGATGATACCGCAATTGACTCGGATGCGTTACGTTATTTATGTTGGATGACTGCTCGCGATTGTTTATATAATTTCAACAATAGCTAATTTCATTATAGTTTAGATCTAGATTCTACTAGGTTTCCCTTTATATCATTTCATTATTTCATTCTTTATATTGTTATTATTTCGGTGCAAAGAACTATGTTATTCTTATTTTCCAAAAGAAACAATTTTTCCCTTTTCTATTATAATGACTATCGCCTTGGCTTTTTTTCTGTTATTTTTAATCGTACCCAGCGCGAATGAACGGCTTGCTTCAACGAGGATGAAACACTCAAGTCGTTCGTTCGTACAAAAATATTTATAAGAAATATAACGAACAATATATAAGTAATTATCAATAAATGTGTTTAAGTTCCCCTTATATGATCATTTATATTTCAACATCAATACCACATTAGACAAGAGGCAGACTTCGTTTTTCACTTCGTTTTTTAGAACGTTTTATACGGGACGTCCTCAATTCCCAGCTTCCAGAAATTCCAATCCAGATTGGAGCTGACTTTGACATGTAGAATATTAGAACGTTGAAGAGAGCGAAGGGAGAAAGGTTTCGTTACTTCATCCTCAAATTATTTTATTACACGTTACAGATAAAATGATGGTTGTCACGGTCACGTTTCGCTACATCGTACCATTTCGATCTTTCCGAACCGAAAGTTCAATCCTCTTACGTTATTCGAGCATGTTATTGTATTCGTTCTAACATTTCGCATAAGTCCACGATCGTGTTCGTCGTGTATCTTTTAACAGCAGAGGTCGGCTCTGAAATTATTATTACATATTGAATATTTCATCGAATAAAAAATACGTGGAAGTTTATTTTTCTCTCGGTACAAGTACATAATATTTTCGATTTTGTCTCTTGACCCGCGAAACCCTTCTTTGGTCTTCTACATATAGAAAAAGTGCCGACCCCTGTTCAATAAATATACCATAACGATGTTTAAATCGATTCTTTTAACGCGCTAAAGATTGATACTTAAATTGTGAGAGAAAGAGCACCGAGGCCGCCTAATATCTGTAGCCCTCTTCCGCAGGTCCCGCTGGACCAGCGGGATAAGTGGCGGTTCCCTCGTATCGCACCATCGGCCGATACCCGTTCTGATCGGCGACGTAATCGACGATCTGGGTCCTACCGTCCGGCAGCAGCACGTGGTAGGTCCCGGTGGCCTCCATGTCCTTCCTGTTCTCGCGATGCCCGAAGTCCAGACCCGCCGCCGCGTCCTGGACCTCGTACGAAAACTCATAGTTCGCCGGATCCTAACATATATCGGTTTCGGTAAAAATGACACGTTCACAGCTGGACCGGACAAAGGCGTCGCGTCGCAAGAATTATTTTATTGTCCGGAAATCAGCGGATCTTTGATTACGTTATCATCTAAATTGATTGTCTAAGTTATCGGTCTTAAATTTTCCGTTTTCTTTTCTTTTTTTTTTTCAAAGATATATGTAATACATACTTACACCGGCCCAATCGTCTGGGTGACCAGTCCCGCCTCCTCCCCGAGGAGGGCTGGGCGGAAGATAGGCCGGGCCTTGCGGTTCGTTCCGAACTCCTACCAGGACCATCGCTAATAGTGCCGCCTGTTCGAAAGAAGAGCACAAAAACTTGTACGCGTATATTGATAAAGAAGAGAGGCGTCGGCTTAACGGACTAACGAGAGGATGATTCCCGCCGATGCGATCGCGTCTCGTGCACCATTCGACATAACGATATTCGATGCGATGTAATAAACAAATTTTACCCTTATCGATACCGTATGATAATATTTATCATACGGTAATAATTTTTTTTCTATTAGAGTTAATTAACGCAGATTTATATCCTGTTCGCCGAGATTTACGCAAAATCTTCCGCTGAATTTTATGCCCGATCTACAATAGCTGTAGTAAGCTGTAGTAATCCTCAAGCCGTAAGAAATTGACCAATTACAGGCGAATGTGAGGAGAATAATCGACTGTGATTGGTCAATTTTTTACATCTTGAGGCTTACTACAGCTATTGTAGATCGGGCATTTATCGAATTCTGCGAAACGCGAAGCGTTTCGCAGCAACCTGATTTTGTACCAACCTTCCGAATCATTAGAAATTCGGTAAAATTCTACGAGCGTTCGCGAAACTGAGATGGCTCATCTCGACAACCCCGGTTTTATAGCGACCAATTCAATTCCCGACATTCCCGACGGGATGATGATTGGAGTACGCAATATTCGTTATTCGGGGAGTTTTAATGCGATCGGATAACCGTAATTACGGCTAATAATAAAACCGCAGGTTTCTACGAATGGCCCTAATCATTCGTTTGGCATAATCGCGATGGTTCCTGATTCTGTGCAACATTGTCGAGATATACGAAGCCACGTTTCTTCCTCTCGTTGGTTACAATTCTACCCCGAGTTGCAATAATTAGAGAATTCTCTTATATGCGTCGCGTTTACGTCTCGCGAAGCTGGATTAGCGTAACTTCCAAAAATTCTAAGTTATTACATATATATTAACTAAAAAATGTATTAAATAGACAAATCCTGAATTTATTTATACAGATTATGTATTAATATCACAGACCGATAAAGCGTTTCGGATAGTTTGTTATTAATTCGACGTGAAAATCGCGTTTGGCAATTTCCCACAAAGGATTCGTTAACGGGTTCGAGAGGCTACCGTATAATTTGCATGAAAGTCTTACTCAAGCGACAGAGATAACAATAAGCTAGATTAACAATTCTCTTTTTCGATTGCGTCACTGTCCCTTCCCGTAGACACGTCGCAAGACTTAAACGATCTGTCGCAAGATAATGTAATAGATATCACGATTGAAATTGCGACAAACGACTTTAGAGCAACATTTTATTGGGAGAGAGAGAAAAAGAAAGACAAAATTGAAAGTGCACGTTGTCGAAATATTTCGACGTCGTAATATAGAAAATGTAGCGGATAGAATGCACGTGCAAAACGAGCTAGAACTCTGCTAGACAAACGTAAACAAACCGCGCGTGCTATGGGGAAAGTGTTTTTTAGATGCCAGATGCGCGAGAAAATAATTCCGAGAACTGGGTGCGCCGCGAGGCGAAGGAATTTCGTGGAATGGGAGTTTTTTCGGATCCTGGCGAGCACTGGCGAGTCTTCGACGTGTGTCGCGCATAATAAACTTAATTCTCTCTCGCAGCTTATTTTTTCATTTTCCGACCGACAATTTACTATCGTACTGATTTATAGCAAGAATCTACGGCCACGGTATCTTTTTCTCTTTCGCAAATACGAAACTTCACGAATCGTGTAGTAAAATCGTAAGACTAGGCGTAAATTATGCACGATTCGCGTTTCGCCATTTGTAACGAAATTCATAGCGCGAACGGCGGACAGAATCGAGTACGCATTGTGGTTTAGCAGTCGTGCTGATTCGCCAGTAATTTTTCGACAGGATCAAAGTGAACGAAATACTTACTAAAAAGGGATATTTATTCGACGGTATTCACAGTCGTTTCTACGTGAATAAAAATTCTTCCAATTATATACATACATGTATAAATAAGAAATTAGAATTTCCGTACGAGCAACAAGAGAATTATTGATAAGCGGTTAACGCGAAATTTCCACACCACAATTTTTATACTTAAAGCCATCGAAATATCGTAACGAGTCAATTGATATCGTAATACGTGGTAATATCGTATATCTTAGAGATAAAAAATCGTACGTCGTACCTCCATGTTATAAATTTAGAGAAAACAGGATTTAAAAGTTTTATTTCTGTGAAAATTTCCAATACGAGTTTTTTCTAAATATCGTGTCTTAGGAACTAGTAATAATGTACATAAAATTCCTTATTTGTTATACAATTTAAGCTCCCGGTATATTGGAGAAAGTATTAACTCCGTTTTGACAAAAACGAGATACGATTGTTCATTTTTCAAACGTACGAATTTACAAAGGTTTTTGTACCTACGTCGCGCGCGATCTTGCCGCGACGCGAAGTGAGCCGCGCGCCGGCGTTCAGTTCAGTCTATACCGCTGTCGCGCACGGATCAACGAACGCGCGCTCGTCGCGTCGCGCGTTTCGCCGGTGATTCTTATATCGAGTCGAGTGCCGTCATTGTTGTGTCGGGGACGATAATCGGAGTACGTAAGTGAACGCGGGTGACACGTTGAACGACAAGTTCGTCAAACGTACGCGAGTGGCTACATTTGGACTCCTTTTTTCGCCGGCGCGTCTGTTGCTTCTGCGATCGCCTCGTCGTTGTCTTTTTTGAATGAACTCGTCGATATATACTTAATCCGCGTGCATCTTCATTTTTGTGAAAATCTCGTGCGAGGACAATCACTGCAGCCAGCCTCGCACGTACGTTTCATCGGGGATCCTGCCGAATCGAGCGCCGTCGCGCGTCGCCGCCCCGTCGGGGATTCTGTGGAGTATACAGTGATGCGGAATCGAGTGCCGTCGTAGTGTGACAAATTGACAATCGCCAGCGAGATGAGTTTCGCGATGAAATCGAATGTGCGTTTATGTGCGGCTACATCGGCTACATTCGGATGCCGCGTCGCGTCGACGCGTCCGTTACTTTCCGCGACCGCCGCGCCATTATCTTTTTTGAACGCATCGCGACGGCAATGGGTGCGCGTCTTTTCGTAAAAACTTTGCGCGAGGACGAACGTCGCGGTCTCGCGTGTTTCGTCGCTGATTATAATCGCCGGAAACGATAATCCAAGCGGAAGTGACTGCGCGAATGCGTTCGGTTTCTTTCCGCGGCCGCGTCCGCCATTTTCCGTCCGACGATCGCGGCGCTGTTACCTTTTCGAATTTCTACTTCGACGCTGTTGCGACGCGTCGTCATTTTCGTAAAACGTGGTAAAAATTCCGTGCGCGGAAAGACGGTCTTCGCGCAATTTCGCCGAGTCGGACGACGATTGAGATGGGACGGACGCTAGTGCGTATGTGTGTGAAAATCTCGTGAATATCGGAGCCGGACGACGAGAGAGGATTCTCAGAGAGCATCCCCGGAGTGGCCGGACAACAGGCGTCGTCGACATCGGCGAGCCAGCGTCGCGAAATAGACGTGGCACATCGAACGGTGAGTACGAAACTAGAAATTTTGTTCGTTAAAAGTTTTACTCCGTGAATTCAGTGGATTTCTAAGGCTGGGGTGTATTTTATGCCTTACGCGAGTAACGTAAGGGTTAAACGCCGAAGGCGACGTAAATTTGGCGACGTACAATATTTTTCTGCTTTAGCCAATTTTATCATATATGTTTATTCTAAATATAAATTAAAATATATTCTTTTTTCTTTCTTAGTCGATTCCTTTAAAATAAATAATAGAAAGATATTGGAAGGGAAAGCGAAATGGGACAGAAATAGCAATAAAGTTCAACATAATTGTTGAGACTCGAGTTGACCGTATCGTTTTTACGGTATAATGTGTTTATTGTTACAAAACATCTACGCATTCCTTCTCACAAGAAAAGAATTTAAACAAAATATTAAAAATCAGTAAAATAGTGACTGCAAATCGCGGATCTTTGGTTTCTCCAACTGAATTTATCTCACACACACACACTCTTCTTATAGAATTCTATATAATTACGGATTATTGTGCGTATATTTAGAACGTTAATTCTAATTAATACTTTTCGCAATTCTTTGGCATACACTCGGGACTCTAAATCTGATACTAGCGTTGAACGATAAACCAAACGGGAGAATCTTCCACCGAGAATTTCAATGCTTATTGTGCGATCAGTTATACGACGTCCGTTTTGCAACGAACACGCAGTGTTACATACATATATATCTCCCGATAGTTTCTGATACGACTACGCGTGTTTATTATTTGTATAAATTAGCTATGCACGTATAAGTATAAAATACATTCCGATCTCGCGTATCACTGACGTTAGCGGTATTGAGTGTAGTCGACAGACCTGTACAGGATTCGATTTGATCGAATATTCGGATAAGCATCGGTGAATCTTTGGCAGTTCTATTACTTTGTCTACCCTTTCGAACGGTGATAAAAGATAGCACGTGATCGAGAAGAAATTAATGATTTTAATAATTACTTCTAATTCTACTTCTAATTCTTCTAGATAGAGACAAATTTATTTTACTCGAATTTCAATTAGTCGGCTTTAATTTTGTTTATTATACACGAGCAAATATTTAATAATAAATATTAATGAAATATTTAGTAATAAATTCGCTTCTATAATTATATTCTATAACTTAACCCTTTGCGGGTAACATCTTTTTCGGCACCTGTAACTGGTAACGTCGGGTCACTCATTTCCGACGCTTAAAAAATACTTTAGTGTTCTAAAGAAATCTTAAAAAATTCATGTTACCTTATTAACTATCCTACTTTAAGGATCAATCGCGATATTGCCGATTTTTTCATTTGTTTAAACAATATATTTATATAAACAGACACTTGATATACAGGACAGTCACTTTCGCCAGGGCACGAGTGACCCGACGTTACTTGCGAAGGGTTAAAGCAAATATAATTTAAAAATTTATATAATTTCGAAAGTTAGAAAATTTATACTAAAGCTACGATCTCGAGAATTATATGTAATGTCAAGATGATCTGTCGAACGAAATATGTACAGATCTCTCGGGAGGGTAAGCCCTATACATTCCGGATACACATATGTATCCCGAGAATAATCTACGCTTCAAACGTCTATAATACTGTTACGTTTCTTGTCCACATCTGCGGAATCGAGATCATTGCCGAGGCTACCCACGCGGCCTCGCAATCCGACACCGCCGCCGACCTGACCGGTCGCCTTGAGCTTCTCTTGCATCTGCGCCAGGATATCTTGCATCCTCCGTATCTGCGAACGTGAATCGATGATAGCGAGTGGTGCGAGAAAACATTTCATAAGAATCGAATTAGATTAGAAAATTGAATTGGATTAAGCTTTTCAGGGACATCTATGTACGTTTGATCCTTTTTTTTTTTAATTCTAATATTACTCACAAAGGAAAAATCGAACCACATGATGAATAAGTATTAAAATATTGAAAATAATAAGTTTATTTTAATATTAAGTATTGAAATATTTACGTCTTGTAATTGCATGGTAAAAACTTTACTTTCTGACTTAAAAAATTTATCCCTGAAAAGTTTCAACGCGCGCGACCGTTAAATTGCGTGCTCACCTCCTCATCTTTCTGCAAAAGAAGTCTGTCCGTGTCGGATATACTGTTCTCGAAGTGCGGTCCGGAATCTCTCTTCAGTTTGCTGTAAAAAAAGAGACGAGAGGCGTATTTTTATTCTCTCGATTATCCGAAAGGGGGCTACGAATAATCTACGAAATGCAATCGAAGCATGAGTTATATGGAAGGGTAAAAGCCATAGTGGTGTGTCAATTTTTTTAAAATATTGACTCGTGTACATGGATGCAATTTATGTATTGTATAGATTGCATCTATGTGCACACGAGTTAATAGATATTTTTAAAAAAATTTGACTTACACCACTATGGCTTTTATCCCTCCATATGTTAAAGCAATACCGTGCAATTTTTCAAAAAGTATCAATCTTAACAACGTTCTCCAATTTTTACTGAACAATATAGAATTTATATATAAAATAGTCCAACTATTCTCCACTGAACTATCATACCGTTGGAACCACAAACTAGTATGAATCGCAAACTAGTTCGAAACTATTGCTGGCAGATGCTTTTAATAATCATGCAAAGCGTACAGCGCACTCGAAAGCGTATCAAGCTCTTCAAAGAGCCAATATTAATAGTCCATTACCATTTCGTATCTCGAGGAAAGCTCTTGAAACGCAGACTAGTGTAAAAATAATATTATTCCGAAACGCGACACTTTCGAGACCACCCCCGTACGCATTGCGAACGCGTGATAAGCGCGTCCGTATATATACAATACCTACTGGAATGCAATATTTATTTACATGCGTAAATACCTCCGTTCCCGGATCGCTTGCTGCGAAATTTGAGAAATACATTGGGCCCGAAAATTCTCGTAGTGAACGTCCTGCGTGACGTCCTTTAGATCCTGCATGTGCGTCGATATTAGCATCGTCCTCAGTTTGACGAAGTCACTGTGCTTCGGGTTCTCGACTATGATCAATCAGAATTGAAATTTTAAAAGATCGGCCGCGCCGACATGCGAAAGCCGGAGGTACTTTAAAATGCATTCAGTCCCTCCTGCTTTCAAATACGCCGATTGGTTATACTCGCAGAAGGCTTAAGCCTCAGGAGCTCTTTTATCGATTAAATCTCTAATTGCTTTTGATTCGGCTTCTGCTTAACGATCTAATTGAAAAGTCGCGGTATTCTTGTAATAAAGGGTATCGAGTACGTGAAATCCCTGTTCTGAATTTCGATTCCTTTGACGTTACCGCATCGAAGTGCACTCTCGGTTCTTTCAAATAGCAATTGTTGACGGAGACTTATCTAATAACGATAATTAAAATCGTGTTCTTTGGCTGGAGCAAATTTTGTTGCAAATGTGAAATTACAATCGCGCAAGTTTTTCTATTAAAAATTATTTACGTTAAAAATTTTTTTCCTCAACGTTATACTTACCACGTAGCTCATGGGAATTAGTACAATCGAAAAATTATGAATTTTATGTAGAATATATATAAAAGTTCACCTTCCACTACGCCCCACGGATACTGCCGGCCGCGAACTTTCCTTCCGGCGACCTCCAGCACCGTCGAACTTCCGACGACCGCGAACGGTATACAGGCCTTCAGCTCCTTATCCTGTTGCTTGAACTCCTCGTCCTCGTCGCTGTCGCAATCCGGGAATTGGTATATCTGTGCGACAATTACGGAAATTAATTAGCATTTGCCGCGCGTCGTAAGAAGAACGAGCGCTGTTGCACGTATATCAGGAAATTATAAAAGTTCGCATTATACTTTACGTCAAGAGGAAAAAGTCAAACCTGAATCTCGTGTTCCTCGATGTCCGCCAAAATGCGCTCCTTTAACTTTTTCACCTCGTGAGTGGTTAAAGTGTCCGCTTTCGCGATTACGGGAACGACGTTAACTTTCCGATGTAGGCGCCTCAATACCTCGAGATCGATCTGCCTGAGGCTATAAAGAAAGATCGGTATTCAAATTAAGGATTGTAATTGAGTCTGATGTATAATCGCGCTCGATATTATACCGCGGGATGAAAATTATCTTTAATCCTGTAAATGAGAATATATGATGGAGAGCTGGATTATATCACGTACCCGTGGCCGTATGGTGGTATAAAGTACAGACAACAGTGTACCCTGTTATCTTGGATATTTTTCCTATTTAATCCGCTTTCGTCCGTAAAGTACTGGCGAAACTGCTCGTCGATGTAAGCCGAGCACGCTTTCCACGTATCCTCGCAATTTACCGCATCGCCGAATCCTTGAACGGTATATCGTTACTTATTGAATTATTTAATAAAGTCGTATCGTTTGAATTTTACGAAAAATCAATATCATTATTTATCCAGCAATTTTACGAAATTCACCATAATTAATTCAACGTGTCTATACTAAGATAATATGCACAGATGTAAACTTGTTTAAACGTGGAAAATAAAATAGGCTCGGCGATATTTCTCACCTGGCGTGTCTACGATCGTTAAGCGGAGCCGAACGCCACGCTCCTCTATATCCATTGTCTTTTTCTCGATAGAGGTGGTCTTAGCCACCCGCTCTGGAAGTGAACGATGAATATTTATCGACTCCTCGAGATCGTGGGCAGTTTACCCACGATGTAAGCTGATCAAATATTTTTCGCGTGTCAATAACTCGCGGGAGGCACGCGGGAGGCTTTTAGAGCAAGACTATCCCGGCGCGGTGGCGTTATATGTATACGTCCTCCCTCCTCCATCGCGATTAAACGGTGTCATTGTTATTACGATTGGCCGCGCATATATAATTTCAGAGGGGACTGACAGGGCTTTGACTAGGACTAGAGGACAGTCTTAGTTTTCGCGAGGAGATCGCGTTTATGGATGAAATTAAAATGAAAATCACACGCACCCGCCGCATCCGGAATTCGCCGGTCCTTGTACAGGTCCCCGAGGAAGAGGCTGTTTATGAGCGTCGACTTGCCGAGACCGGTCTCACCCAATACCATCAGGGTGAACTCGAAGCCCCTCTTCACCGATTTCCGGTGCACTTGCTCCGGCAGCGTCGCGAAGCCGATATAATCCCTGTCTTACTGAGCGAAACAAACGGTCGTTAATTTCGCGACATATCAATACCTAGGTAAAATTTCTCTCGCCGTCTTTTATACAGAGACAAACACTCGATAATTAATAAAGCGCGTTGCACGTTTAAATACAAAAACTCCGAACATATATAGAATTACGTGCGAGCGCGATTGCGTTTTGATTTTTGGCTGACTCATCGACTGACTGGTAAACGCGACGCATGTACGGCGTCAATAAATGCATAATTTACTACATATATCATAGCGAAGCGAGCCGGTTTCCCGACTCGGAGAGAGAAAACGAACAAGACAATTTTGCGACACTTTCGCTGTTAAACACGCGACAATTTTTCTATTTAAATAAAACGTTTACGTACCACCGGACATTATGGTAGAATCTAAGGGCGCTTCCGTGGGACGACGAGCATAACGGCAGCCAAATGTCGACCAAAACGCACTACGGCCGAGGGCGGCTCGCGCTCATGAATGCCTCTCTTCGTCCGTCCGGCCTCGACTTGCGCTGGCGCACTGTCGACCGGCCGATCAATAGTCGGTCGTGCTCCTATGATGCATTCCGGGCTGCACGCCGTGAAGAGGTTAAGCCGGAGAGAGCCGGGCGTGCGTGCAGAATAAATAGCAACGTTATCAGCGCCCGCCGTCTCGCTTAACGGTTATACAAACGGAAGAACGGAAATGATATAGTCCGACATCGGTTAAGCCTGACCGATGACGCGATGCTTCGCGCTGCATTCACGCCCGGCAAGTGATAAGTATACGGCGTTCGTGAAAGGAAAAAAGAAAAACTGTCACGACGCGCCGTCTCTTATCGTCACACCGTGCGCGCCGATCGAATTAGATTGAGTTCCGCGAAGAGATTAACGAGATCGGTGCTGCTAACGCTGTTCCCCGTGACGTTATTTCTTAACGGTTTCATCAACGTCGCTTTTATAACGAACGCGGATGATTTATTTGCATTCACGTGTACGCGCCGAATAAATTAAATAATCCGACGCGCTAACGTTTAGCGTATAATTTCAGGTCTCCGCGCGAAACATGATGAATTTTCGGATTTACCGGATTTGCCAACAATCGGCCGTAATTATTCGTAATGGCCCTGTAAAAGCGCCTGATGACATAGGATTTATTACATTTCCGCGCTGTTTGACTACAATTTTGATTAATTAATTGTTATTAATTATTTCCCCCGTGGTATTACTTTTAAGCGATAACAAAATTATTCGAACATTTAAATTGAGGGGTTTGATATAACAGCTAATACGTAATTTAATAAAAAAATTAATTTATTGTAAAATGTAAAATAACAATCCGTATAAAAAAGATATAACGCTCGATTATTGTGTGCTTGGAAGAGATTCTTCGTTTTTATCGCTCGGCCTTATTTTTTATAAACGCCATTACGTCGTTAACGTCGTCTTTCGAGCCCAAGAAAATGGGTGATCTCTGATGGATGGTCTCCGGAACGATGTCCAGAATATCAATTTTTCCGTTTGTCGCCAGACCGCCGGCTTCCTTGACTAGGAAAGCCATCGGTACGCACTCGTACAGAAGTCGTAGCTGGAATTGCGAAATTAATACAAATGGCGCATACTTATTGATTTGACTTTTGCGAAATTTTCATGCTTTAATACGCGAGATTTAATATAGATGAGAAGTACGTTTAAAATGCGTTACATAATGCATGCAATAAATTGTAATGAATTAAAGTTTAATAATAAGTTAATTATCGGTAAATACGTTCTCTTGAAATTCTGACCCCGGTATATTGGCCTCTCTGATAGAGAGCTACAATCGTGTTTACCCGAGTGGATAATACGCATAGTCCGATAATGTTTTACAGAAATTTACATAGAAATCATGGGATGCCGCCGCGCGGGTCAGTCCAAGTTAAAACCGGATATATATTTATACCGCGCTTAGATAAAATAATTTCCAAAGTCCGATACTTTCCTGCATGTTTATCGGATAGATGGTAGCGTAAACACCTGTTTATAACGCAAAGTTACAGCGGGTTATTTTATTACTCAATCCGCGTCTGATGTGTAGTGATAAGCGCATCCGATAAGCGCGAGATCAGGAATTTACAAAAAAATCCGAATTGTTTGGCAATAATCGGAGAGCGAAGAGAGAATCAAGAAGATAAATAGGATACGTGACGCGAAATATGTCGTAATATACACCGCTTATCGCTATTTGTCTCGATCTGTCTTGTTCTTTTTCCGTACCATATAGATAGTTAGTTCAATATAAAGTTCAGAAGTCGTCGTGAAATTACCTTGCCGTTGGGATTGCTCTTGCTCGCGGGATACAAGAAGATACCGCCGTACTTAATCGTACGGTGTACGTCGGCGACCATGGAGCCCACGTACCTTGCACTGTAGGGCTTTCCGGTTGCGGGATATTTCTTGGAATGTACGTACTCCTTGATAGACGAGTCCCACGTGCTCTCGTTGCCTTCGTTAATACTGCAAATAATCGTACCGCGATTTTAGTGCGGTCAATAACGACCGAGAGAGAGAGAGAGAGAGAGAGAGAGAGAGTTTCGAAAGATGTACTTTCGCCTATAAAAAGTCAACTTGAACTCAACATATATCGACTATCTTATCGAATTCGTGATTACGCTGACGATGTTAACTGTAACTCGCACATCAAAAATTGTGCACCGAATATATTTCATTCCGCAGGTTTCGTTTCTTTTTTCTCTCTCTATCTTTTCTTTTTATTTTTTATCATACCTATATATATTGCCTCTGTCAGGCATACGCATGTTTTTCTCGGTCAGTATAAATTCTCCGATGGCCGGATCGTACATGAACCCATTAACGCCACGGCCGATCGAGAGCACTATCATAGTCGCCGAGCCGTATAGAGCGTATCCGGCCGCGACCAAGTTCCGTCCCGGTTGCAGCGCGGCCTGCAGCGTGGATTCCCCGGATTGTTCGGATTTTTTGTAAATTCCGAAGATCGAGCCCACCGAGACGAGGCAGTCGATGTTGGAGGAGCCGTCGAGCGGGTCGAAACACACGATGTACTTGCCGCTCTTCTCCGTTTCCACCTCGATAGCGTGCTGATTCTCCTCGCTCACGAGCACGCACGTGGTGAAGGATGACGTCAGCATGTTAATGAAGAGCTCGTTGCTCAGGACGTCCAGCTTCTTGACTTCCTCACCCTGAACGTTGATATTGCCGGCGATGCCATACCTGATGTGGATGAACAGGGATGCGTCGTGCGTTTAATAGCTGATTTTAGTACACCCAAATGAGCATTGCATAACCGATTCAATTAATTATGAATGATTTGGGCTTGAAATAGTTTGAATACGCGATAAACATATATGATAAAAGTCGTTTCAAATATTATTTAAAATAAAAAGCTTTTTGAAAGTTTTGATTATTTTAACAATTATACTATATTATTTTATACTTAAAATTATCAATACACTTACATCTAAATATATTCTTTATATTATAATCAGATGTAGACAGAAATTTTTAAGAACTTTGAACGTTTAGATATTGACCCGTATCTAAGAAAAGACTCTCTGGGGGTTTAAACCTTTCAAGAGAGAAGATTTTCTGGTTTTAAATGATATTTGAAACAGTTCGCGAATCTTGATATGATTAAATTGTTTTGAAATTGAAAGAAGTATATTGGGGAAAAAGAAGCCCTTATTTAAAATACTGGGACAAAAGTGCAACATTGTCTTTTGTAACATTTTTCAATAGCAAACACGTTAAAGAATATTGTAAAATTTTTATTTAGAAAATAAATTATAGGATCGTTAGAAACGTGAGGTAGCTAATTTATTCAGGAGATAATATGAAGATAATATGAAACATTAAGATAATAATTATTCGTTATATTATCCAAGATTCACGGACTTCATTACAGCTATCTAATCTTAATTCGAGGCACAATCCACATCAGTTTATTGATAAGGGAAGTTTGTTCCGAAACTTCGATAGAGAGCGACCAGTCATGAAATTGTTTTATTCATGTCGCTGCGGTGTGTGCACCACTGTAATAATGGGAAATCATTTATATGTTATTTACATGCAAGGTTACAGAATTGTCAGGGCGTAGAGATTAATGTTTACTGGCGTGTATTGGCAGCTTGAGCACGGTAAATGCACGGGACTATACCGCTGCCGAATACATTTGAATAAAATAGAGACGAGCGCCGGTTCGACAGCAAACGTTAGCCTCAGTTACGATACTGCGGAGACTTTACACCTACGCTGTACACATATATCTGTATACTAGTTCGAGTCTCCCTCTGCCGCGTGCTAAATTCTGACCGTTGAGTGCCGCGTGAAAATGTAAAACCGCACATGTAAGCTGCATCCGTACACCGGTTATAACGTATGAAAGTCCTCTATTTGTTGTCGCAAAGTGATTTTGCAACTTTTAAACCGTGGGGAATATTTGCGCAATAAAACGTACAGTCGTGAACCAGCGTAGTTTCGAACTCATGAAGATTACAAATTATAATTAGATTAATTTGAATATCTCGTAAAGTGTCTCTCTATTTCAGCTGTTTAAATATGCCATTAGAACGTCTAGTTTATGAGATCACGAAGTGTTTTTGCACTTCTCTCGCGCTGATCCTCTTTCGCTTATTTGGCCATGCAGAAAGCGACACCGAATCGCACATTTCACGGCGTGCACTACGTTCGCGTTTTTTTTTCTCTCGCAAACGTTGGCGCGAGGCTGGCTCTCGTTTAGCCTGGAAAGCTCGCAATGTTTACTCACATATTAGCGATACCGGCCTTCCTCACGGCCGAGCTGACGGCTTTTACGGCGGTCTGTATGCTATTCAGTAGCTGCGTAAGATCGCCGGTCGCCGTTGGCACCTTGCGCTGCTCCGCCAGCACGAATCTCGTCAGCGTCATGCAGTCCGAGTCCATGATCGTGTTTTCCGATGCCATCGTGTAATTCGTATATTTTTTTCGAGCTGCGGGACGGAACGCGAGGAAACTGGCGTGAGAGAACGAGGCTGTCTCGGCGGAGACTGAAACCGACGATTTCGAGGCGGTGCGTTATATAAGACCCCGGGCAACGGCTAGTCGGCGACGCGTTATCGCGACACTCGCGGCAGTGAAAGCAGCATTGGCATTCGAGTTTCCGAGCTCGCTCTAGCGAGCTTCTTCTACGAGTTGATACTATTTTACAATGCGCGCGAACGGTGACGCGTGCCTTGATAAAGTCGCTCTTCGAAGCGCGCTCAAGTGACGCGATATCATCGGGTGGAAAACGGGATATCTCTCACTTATTTTGTATTTATTACTCCGTAAATATCCATACTCTCTAAAAGTCGAAGAGTTTTAAATATCACCCAGAACGAGTGAAATGCAAGTGTAACGGAAAATAAAAATTGAGCCTGTGTACCTGGAGCGAATCGCCACTCTAAAAAAGAGTAAAATTGCGCTATAAATTAGAGTGAAAATCGCACTCCATTTGAATGAAGATCAGTGTCTGTAGAAGTGAGTGAATTATGTCACTCTACACAATTTTGAGTGAAAAATTTCATTCTATTAGAGTCATTTATCAGTCGATCTTCAGTGAATCGTGATTCACTATAGCTTTAGAGTGAGATCGCACCATCACTCCAGTAGAGTAGCCGCTCTTAAAATTTGAGTGAAAAATTCACTTCTACTTTATGAGTGAATTTACTCAAGTTAGAATGACAACTCTCTCTTGTGGAGTGACACTAGCGCAATCACTCTAAAATATATTATTGGCGAAACCACTCTATGACATTTAAAGAGTACAGAGAATGCAATCAATACACGGATTTCTATCTGCGTTATTCATATTGTGTAAAATGAAGCGTGGTAATCAGTGTTAGAGTTTATTTTTCTGATGGTTTAAAGTCAATTTTCACCGGGAATATACACTACCATAGATTTACTTTTCCACGTTTTTCTCGCTGCACAAATTTGTTATTTTATTCATTGACGCGTGTATGGTTAAATTTTATACATATCTATGTATATATAAAATTTGTAGAATTAAACGTGGCCACGCATTAGTTGGTCACGCGCGGATTTATAAAAGAGTAAAATCCCGCGAAAAACCGATAATCGCATAAAATAAGCGAACAATGACGTAGTTAATACGCAAATTTTATTCGGCAGTTGTTTCGTTGCGTTTTATCTTACCCGCCTTGCTTTTCCCGCGCATTATTTTCATCTCTGTAACATATGCAAATGTATTCGGTTCTGTTACGTATACACGGTTCTGTAAACGAAAACGAGATAGGCTTGAAAAAAAAAAAATTAAATATTGCAGATTCACACATGCACGCGGCAGTATTCTATTATCCGGTCGTATTATCGAGGTCGTGCGTGTAAACCGGAACTAGGTCGCATTAAGATTCGTTTCGCCGATAATGCATTATCCTATCGCGTGGAAACGTGAAGTGTCGCGCGTTATTCGACATAACGTAAGAATGATTTTTATTGCTTCCTATCGCAAAAGGGTAAATCGATTTTCCTACTAAAGTTGCACCCGCGACATGCACACCTACACGGCAGCGCGCGTCTTGGAATCACGACCTATTTCAAACGTCGTGATATTTCAAGCACTATTATCCGGTTAATTCAAGTTCAAATTAATTTCTGAATGCGTCGCGCGATAGATAAGGCTGGTAGTAGTGTCGTAGCTTTGCTATAAATACGTTGTGCGGCATAATTAAACTATAAATGGCATATAACGAAATTAGCGTCGCAACGACGTTAGATCGATCAAATCGGCTTCGCCTAAATAATGGCAATTTATTGGTCTACGTGCACGCGGTGACCACCCTACGTTGCAAATTATGCATTCTTTTTTTCCTCTATACATTTTATCAAGAATCTTTTATCAGTAATATGGACGATAAATATTTGATGAAACAGCCACCAACTGTGCCTGATAAATATTTTTAACTTTATTACCATTAGCATTACAAATAGGTATAGGTATAAATAAAACAGCATCGCATTATGCTTTCCCAAGGCTGTCATAAATAACAGATAAGTATAAAAAGGTATTGTACATTGGTGTTTGCTAAAGAAAATTTCAACAATATGTACAATTTATATCTCTCGTATTTTTATGCCATTTAGAGACGAGTATACACATGCATACACAACTGCACACTCGTGCTTCTACACGAGTTTGCTAAAAATTTGTAGCTTTTACGCTAAAAAATTCCTGTAAAATGTCGCGCTCTCTGTCCTCGGGCGTAGATTAAAATTGTAAGAATTGTGGTTGGCCGATGGCATTTTCTCCACCTCGGTCGGGCTTCTTTGGGTCAGATGCTCGTACAACCGGTAACCGTGCCGACATTCGTCGTAATTATTAAAGAGGAAAAATCGCGCAAAACGTCGGCAGGACACTTTTCTGACCGCTTTCTCCGTGAAACATGTCGGTATAGTTTTCGTGGGAAAATTTGTGACGATCTACAAATCGACGAGCTTGAATCGCATCGGTGACACCAGCGTGTTTATAAATCGGCTTTCGTACTCGAGCGGTCCGTGATGCCATTCGATCCGGAAATTTCGTATGACCTAAATAAAACAAAAACGCATCTCTCTATAGTAAACTCCTTTCGCAATTTGCATCGCGCGCGATCGGGGGGAGTGATATGCAGGCGTCGTGTTCTCGCGGCTTTTCCGCCCGGGAATCATTTCGAGAATCTGCGATTCAATTGAAAAGCGTGGTTCCGCGAGACTCGTAATTCTCACCGGAGGATTAATTTCTGCATCAAAAGTGTCTGGCGAAAAGTCTCAAATGTCTAATTCGCGTGCGAAACAAATGTTTTAATGTTAATAAAATACACGAGGGTATAACATATTCACAATATAAATCGAAACATTCATATCCGAGTACTTGACGATAGATATGTTTGTGGATATTAACCGGAATTAAAGAGAGTCATTTCTGTTGATGTTCGTGCCAAACTGTCGTGTCAGAGCGAATTACGGAATCACGCTTCTCAATTCTTTATGAGGAGAGGAACGGCGCCAACGGGGATTCGCGCAGAATATTTAGTTTTCCGGGAATTCGTACTTGAGCGCAACATCGTTATTTCACTGCCATGCACAGTCACGCGTAGTCCGACGCTCCAAGAGAATATGCATATTATGCAAGCGTGTCGTCTGTTTCCGTTATTATCTCAGCATGCGATATACTTTTGTGCGCGCGCGCTCGTTTAAACCTTTCAACTTATTAAACATCTGCGCTTATCGCGTATGAATAAAACATCGGTGAAAAGAAGAACGTAGTCCTCCTCACGAGACTTGCGAGTGAATTAAAAACAAACGTACAAAAATCAGTTTTTCCGCGCTACATTCATTTAAAAAGGAAGTTTGCATTCGCTTCGGTTATTCGCGCGAAAGCGCACGTGAACAAGTGAAATGCGGTAAGATTAATAGAACATCCACTAGACGTAATGGTTGTTTTCTTCCATTTCTTGACAAATTTTGTAAACGGCGGACAGCGAAAAAAAAATCACTTTATATTGAAGAAACAAAAGAAAAAAGGAAAATGTACTTATTAGTAATAAACGAATTTGTTGACTGATTGGCATTGTAAGTTGATCTTGTCGAACGAGGTACGAGCATGTAATATTAATCGATCTCTATCAAGACGTTTTAACCGTTTTGCTCGAACAAATTTAGGACACAGTCGCATTTATTCTTGGGTTGGCACTGTTACTCTCCTAATATAAGACACGTTTATTTCGAAATGGAAATCCGGTTATCGTTATTCGACTGACTGAATCCCGCGGGCAACAGAATTGTCAGCAGGACACGAGCAAGTTTACGAACTGTCAAGAGTAACGTCTCGAGCTCCATTTCGGCGAATCGTCGGCCGATGCAGGTGCGAGGGCCAAATCCGAAAGGCATGTACGCGAAGGGATGCGCCTCCTTGGCTGATGGAAACTCCGTGTTATCTCGCAACCATCTCTCGGGAATGTACTCCTGCGTTCGCGAAAACTCCGTGGATTCCTTCGCGATCAGAGAGTGGCCAGCGATGACGTCGGTCTAACGGTATAAAAAGAGAGAACCACTGAGAATTCATACGTCTGTGAAGTTGGCCCCCCTTTTTCAAAATTCATTGATGTAGGATGTAGCTTATTTCGCGACATATATACCTGATAAACTTATGACTTTTTTGTATAATTCAGAGTGAATTTTTTCTTTTAACAATATACCTATAATGTTCAAATATATTGATAGTCTTTGAATTAAGGAAACAAATGCAAATAATTTTTTTAGGACTTAGATTTCGCGAATGAGTACTAAAATTATATATTTTATTTAGCTCAAGGAATTAAATAGAATTTAAATTAAATAATTATATTTATATAATCATTAAATTTATAAAAATTACCAATTATGATATAATAGAAAAATAATATTCGATTAAAAGAAAATCGATTCCAAGTTGCTTGAAAAATCCGAGTTTATCAAATATCTTATATTTATCCGCGTAATATTATTTTTAATTGCGTTCTAGAAATTTTCATAAAACATTTTCCATCGGTAGATTTTTTTTAAATATTTTAATGAAATGGTATAGATATGAGTCATTAATTAGATATATCTATTGATATCAGACGAATCTTAGGACTCTAATTATAAATAACAAATTAGAAAGAAAACGGCACGTACTCCTGCTGGTATTCTATACCCTCCTATGCAAACATCAGTTTGCATAGTTCTGAGATTGGCAACAGCGATGGGGAACAATCGAAGGGATTCCTTGATGCAGGCCTTAGCGTATTTCGTACGATTTAGGACGTCCTGCGTGACGGGCGATGTTTTGTCCGGTAACACGGACATTACTTCTTCCCGCAGTTTTTCCTGTTTCTCTGGATTATTCGCGATGTAATACAACAAGCTGCCGGACACGTTGCCAGTCTGTAACAAGTTGTTACTTAATCAAGTACAGTCCCACTTTCAGAATTTTGATATAATAGAATTCTTTCTCTTGCTCTTTCCGATGCATTTAAAAAAAGATTTTAACAGTTAAATATACAAGAAATTATAGAGCTTTCAAAGATATACGCGTAGTCCTCCTCACGAGACTTGCGAGTGAATTAAAAACAAACGTACAAAAATCAGTTTTTCCGCGCTACATTTTTTTTCATTTAAAAAGGAAGTTTGCATTCGCTTCGGTTATTCACGCGACAGCGCACGTGAAATGCGGTAAGATTAATAGAACATCCACTAGACGTAACGACGCGAGATGCCATAGTGTAGCAATTTATTTAAAAAATAAAAAAATTTTTTAATTTTAATCAGAGTCGTTTATTATTTCATTATTATTACGTTCGTCGAAAAAGAGATAACGAGATTTTATTCGATAGAAGATCGAGCTATTAAAATCATTTTGAAGAGTTAAAATCTCGCACTTACCGTATCAACACCAGCCGTTAGCATATCGAGCGCCATTACCTGTGCCGTTTGCTTGTCGATACGCAAAAGTTTCTGTAATATACTACGTTCGCCCAGATCCGCGCTATCGCCCATTGCTTCGTACTTCGTCTTAGCTCTTTCGATGTGTTTACTGGCAATTCTAAAATTCGTAGATAAATAGATCGTAAATAAAATTATATACGCAAATACGACGAGTCGTGTTTTCAAACTTGTTACATGCAGAATGAATTATGCGCGAGCGAAAAATGTGGAGGTAGCGGTAACGCGTAACTTCTAGAAGTAAAAGTAACTGAACGGACGTAAAACGTTAATTTCTAAGCAAGAAGTAATTAACGTGACACGACACACGATACATTATTGATAACTAACTTCGCGACACGAGAATGTCGAGGAAACATATCGAGGATTACGGTAATGACGATGTGAAGTAACAAGTTCGCGTATTCGCGTGGGAGTTTGCGAGTAATATGCTGACGTAGTAGTGTAACGAGTATAAGTTTCAATATTTACCCATTAAGCGTATCCAGCACACGGAAGAACTTCTTGAGATTCCGTGTATTGTACACCTTCCACAGAGACAGTAGAATTTCCATGCGGTACATGAGATCGAACATCTCGTGCACGCAATTAATCATTATTTGCGGTTCCGAATCCGCGGCAAGATTAGGCTTCAAGCACCCTAGTCGGCAATCCAGCGCGATCGAACATATTGCTGTTAATCAACGGTAAGTGATTGTCACGTGACTGCGGAGTCACTTAATATCGAAATATAGAGCGGCGTATATTTTTAAAACTTTCAGCCCGGCGCGTATCTCTCGTCGCATCGTTGATAAATGCATTACGATCCACTGGAATATACAATGCCGCAGTGCATTGAATTTGGAGTGCGAGTTAATTTATCAGCCCCATTGTTACAACCGTGATATACGTATATAACTATATTATTCTAGGTGCTCCATTTTCGTGGAGGAGCGCGAAACATCAGCGGCGTAAATAAGTATCTCCGCCGCTCGCATCACTTACTCTCGTACTTACACTCTAAGGCCCACTTTTGCAATTCGTTCTTGAAGTCGCTCGGCAACTCCAGGGTTTCAGGATCCCTCAGTGCTCGCATCTTGTCCACGAACTCGCTGGTCACCTCGCTGATCTGCGCTACGTGTGCCTTAACCGTACGTGGTTGCATCATGTGCGGATTGACTTTCGACCGAAAGTCGTGCCACAATTTGCCCTGGCTAAAAGCAGGAGAGCGCCCTTTTCAGCGAGAGACGAGATGTTACATCGTACGCAATTTATGTAGGCCTCTGTGTTTGGTCTCTCCGTGGCTCTCCGTACACTCGCTGGACTATCGACCGTACAGGACACAAGAGAGACCAGCGAGATAGAGATAGAGTGACGGAGAGAGATGAGAGAGGGGGAGGAGTGTGTGAGAGAGAGTTCTAATAGCGATGGAGAGGAAGGTTGCTTCGTCAGCTGGTGTTCCCATATTCTGACGAATTTTCGGGATATCGACGACCTTCGCGCTTGACCATATATCTAACATGCTACACTGAGAACGCCTACATTTATCACGTTGAAATCTCGAGAGCCATAATAGCTACGTTATTAATCTAACAATTGATTAAAATGAGAAATCGAATAGTGTAAAATCGGATTTGTTCCATTATTACAGGACGAGGCGATAAATTTTATCAGTTATGGAATACGTATCTCAAGAATGCTTAGTTTAACATTACGCGCACAAATATTATGCGATTTGATAAATATTAAAGTAATAAGTTAGCATGACGTAACTTCGAAACTTGCCGTGACGTTAGTGCAGATTGTTGAAGCGATCTGAGATAAGCAGAAGAATATTGCGATTCGTAAGCTGAAAAGAGCGTTTAATGAAGTCGGGCTTCTTGCACTCTTTTCCATTTTCAGATTTTTTTAATATCTTAATAATAGACGGTAAGAATAAGAGGAAGTACAGTGAAACTAGGGCGCTCTTTATACATATACACACACACACACACACACGCACACATATACTATCACTCATCTATCTAGCTATGGAACTTAACAATCTTCTTTCCAAGTAATTCTATTTCTGGATTTTAGAATCTCAAAATTTTAAGAATTTTTTAAAGAAAATGTTTATTACCGCGTCTTTAAGAATTGTGAAGAAATACGGGATTGAGACACAGTGTATCTTATATGTAGAAAGAGAGACAATTCCCTCTCTCTCATGACAATGACATTTCTTCCAAAGCATTCTATACTGACCTTGTTGCGAGGCCGTACTGCCCATTATAGATGTGTGTCCTGTTTGTGCGATAATAGTGTAGAGTCTCCATAGCAATCCGCGTCGGCCACGCGCCTTCCACCCGATACATTTTCTCGCATAGCTCCGGTGAAAATAGAAAGATTGCCGATCTGCGACCTCCTATCTTATCCAATTTAACGATTTCGCCGTACTGATCACGCAGCATCCGCATTTGCGTTATAGTGTCTTGTCCGCCGTATTCACCTGCATTTACGTCAATCGGTGGTCGCCATTTACACGTACATACGTGAATTAAGAAACAAAGGAAATATATTACGTTTAAACAATTGATATTGTTTTACAGGTAACAAAATAATCTTTCGAGATACAAATTGACATTCTGTTAAATAAATTTTTCGTTAGTTATTAATTATATCGCGGTTATACGTCCCATGGACATAAACTTCCGATCTGACTTAAATATCATATTTAAATTTGAACTTATTAATAATCCGATAATAATAAAATAATCAATGTTTTGAACACGCTTTATGTGTGTGTGTGTGTGTGTGTGTGACGAGAGAACTCTTACCTATGTATGGTAGGAATCTGAACCAATTGCCAAGCAAAGGCAACGCTTTCGGTCCCGGAATATCTTTGGTCGGCCGCGCATATTGCGTTTCGTTGTTCACATCTTTCGTTTCATTATGTTCGATCGGATAAGCGACCGATCTTGCGCGACATTGCACTTTTGATGACAAATGCGAGCCATTGATCTCGCGAATAAAAAATCTGGCACGTATCATGCTTTTGACGCTGGATACCTTTCGATCTGGTCGTTCTGCAAAATTATCCACAGCTATATATACATTCGTCATAAACGGTACTACCGAATGATATCGATTCAACGCATTCAATATGCATGCAGTTACATTTTGCGATTATTTACGGCAACGAAACCATGTTTATTCAGTAAATATACGACTCGGAATATTAGTTCAGACTAATGGAAAAATATCACGTAGCCGGCACGTGGAATTTAAGGCATACGAATAAGTGTCGAACTTCTCTACACACGTCGTAGCTGTGAAAAATGAAAGACCAAGATCGGAATTTTAATCTCGAGTAAGAGATTAAAACACGGTGGAGGAATTACTGCGGCGGGGTACATTACGCTACTTGATGATAGAAGGGTTAATTTCTTCGGCTGTGCCGCGTACACTTAAAATTGCTGTTTGCGGGCGCAGTAAGTTTGAAACGAAGAAAGGATCGACAAAATCGAACGAGCCTTTGAAGTTTCAATCAAGCGTAGTTTAATTAATTCATTAAATGGATAAGAAACTATTTTGTACCGTTCGAATTTACTCCTCTATTTCTATATCAACACTATCGTGTTGATATAAACAAGGCGAAGCTTATTTAAGCTCGAAATTGCTTTTTATCATATAAATTACGATTCTAATTAGATACATTGTAACGCTCTGAGCCAAAGGATTAAAAACGAAGGAGCGACCGCGCGATATTTACAAGGCGGTCGTTCGTCTTGGGCTAACATTCAATTCGGGCGTTGTACGGGTTGCAAAGCACGCGATAGAGGGATTTTTTTCCGGGAGATATCGAGTTATGGTCCCGGAGAGACTCGGCGCGCTGCCGCCGCTGGACCGAAACACGCGAACGCCTCTATATCGACACACGTCAGCCCACGTTATTATAGCACGAACGAGCCACGACGCCGATGACGACGACGACGACGACGACGAACCGAACGCCCCGTTTTTCACCCTCTCACCGCGCTCGTTTCCCGTCCGACATTTTCCCGTCTTAGCTTAACCCTCAGATGTCGGAAATACTTTCAATCCGGTGAGTGACGAAAATAGGTCATATTTCACCCCTTCTGCCCTCCGTGGTCGCCCCGCGCGACAGGTTTGTTATTACAAGTTCCAAATGCAGGAAACGCCTGATGAGGCAACTTCTGCCGTGTAACTTTTACCTACCGCGATCTTTTTCTTCCCTTTTTTCCTCCCTTTTTCTCCTCCTTTTTTTGTGTCGAATAAGAATGACGCAGTCTACCTTCGAAGGCTCGAAGCGTCTTTTAATGAGGTGGGTCGAACTAGTCAGCATTCACACTTTATCGACAATTATATCTCGATATTATTTGCCATGCGGAAATTTAGTATCTGAATTACAAACTAACTAACTAATTTGACCTATGCGCGATTCCTTTCATTGCACGTTCTCGGTCATATCAGTTCCAAATAGAACTCAACAACACGCGAATGTTTGATTTTGGTAAAATGCTATGGAATAATGCTAACGAATATCTACTAGCCAATAAATTTGTTCATACTAGCAATTGACGTGCACGATATTGTTGAACTATTGCAAATGCAGAATATAATTGCCCAGTTGTGTAAACTCGTCCGCTAAATGGTGCACTTTTGTTTTATCTTATCATTACCGTTAGAAGTAAAATATTTCCATGTTTTTAACATCACACACTGATAAAAAAAATATTAAAAAAAAAAATTATTTATTAGGTAGCTCCTAATAGCATTATTTACTTAATTTTTACACGTATTTATTTAGAATTAGATATTTGTATTTCAATTAAATAAAAATATCTAATTCTAAATAAATATGTGTAAAAAGTAAGTAAATATGCTATTAGGAGCCACCTAATAAATCTTTTTTGGATTAAAATATTTTTTTTCTCAGTGCATACATTGCGTTGCATGTCTGCAAATTAATTGAGCATATAATTGTATTTAGCGATAAAATAACGAAAATTACCATAAAAAAAAAACAGATTCCGTATGTTATAAAACTATTTATCGCCCGTACAACCCAGTACAGTCGTACTCGGGTTCGGGCACAATGACAGAATTGAAAGCAATGTGTTTGCAGTATATTATGCGGTATATTACGCACTCATGCAACACCGCGTCAATTGGGACAAAACGTGCACTTACAATCGAGGAGCGTAATCGAACAATCTTCCACGGGCGCGCGTATCTTACTTCCGTAGACTCGACGATCCCTTCTATAGACACATGCCACTTCGCCTCTCGTACCACTGAACAAGAATAGGTTTGCTTGCCTTTGTCTTCCAATGGAAATAAATTTTATTTAATTTCAAAAAACTAGACAGATGACGCGGCAAAATTTTTCATCATTGCACAGGTGTCCATTTTACGAACCGTTTTGTTCTACTGATTGTGAGTCGGAATCATTGTGACTCGGTCAGATGCAGCCGTCAACGTAAACTTCCCACCGAGAGCGATTGCGATTTTATCTGACCGAGTGCAAACACTTTGTGACGTGCTTGCTCGGTACGGTTGCACTTGCACGCAGAAGACCGACCTGCAACAAGGCCGCGGAACAAGATTTTCTTCATTTAGCGCACAGTGGGGACGTCGGTGATTGCTGCCGCGATCGACGCGAGGAATAACACATATTGTTTTCGCGATAACTATAAATATGTCGTAGAAATGCTGTTTTCCTTGTTATTGTTTTTCCAGTGATAGTGGAATTAATTACAGATACCGGTTGATTAGCTCTCGCGCGTGTTCTAATCTTACAATTAGACTGACGACTGAAATGTTAGATATAATTTGTGTCGTAATTTGATGATACCTAGTATTTACGTTATCTTTCATCGCATTAGGAGCATGACGAGGATTTTTGACGAGCAACTGTACCGTATCTTCGTAATGAACGTACGACGAAAGCCATTACGGTGATTCTTCGTAACAAAAGGGTTAATCGTTGCGCTTTGCTATATAGTTCTCTCTTTTTTTTTCTTTGTATCGATGCGCAGGACAATAACTGACCGAGTTCTCGTACCCTAAGCCCTAGGAAAAAGGTATAGATAACAATAGGTAGATAACAGATATTGAAAAATTTCATTGCACACATTGTATTCGCGATACGATGCATCTTAATACAATATCGCTTTGTAAAAAAATAATGAAAATATCGCATGAGATGAATGCTGACGTGCCTGCGTAGTTCTGAAAGGTTATCGCGTGTATTTAAGAGAAACGCGCGTTGGACGTTTAATCTCGGCCGTGAGCTTGCAATTCGCAGTTAGCACGCGACGTATAATAAAATGACTTCTGACACTTTGATAATGTAGATGCCATAATGCAAGTTTCCGCCGAGGGGAAGGATAATCTAGGCGCAGCAATATAAATTTTCGTTAAGAACGCGTGTCTGCTCGTTCAAGAACCGAAACTCGATCAAGAATCGCGTGGCAGAAAATCTGGGACAACCTCATGTATTTTTACGTAATCCCTCGTTCCTTGCACGAAATTCGTCTACACGCGCTTATACAGAGAGACATACATCTGAATTAGCAGAAAGATGAAATAATAACGGGAAAAAAAAGAATTTTTTCGCAAGATTATTCTGATCGCATCATTTTCTTGAAAGAATCATTATTTTTTTCCGTCATTGCTATTATCGCTATCATTATCGTTATTACACCGTAACATGTTTTTTAATGTAATTAAAAGGACATTTAAAGGAGGCGTGCATTGCCATCATTACGCTAAATTAAATAATGTGCGAAAAAAAAGCAGCGAGGATATCTCTGCGCGCACGTCCGTATTCATTACAGGCGTGAATTCACGTTTGGTCTCTCATTACGGATTTTCACACCTCTCCGGTTGGCTCGAGGGTGAGAACCGGGAGCGAACGAACATCCCGTAAACAGGTATGTGCCGATGGCTGAAAGTGGCCGAGTTTCAGGTCTAATCGGTTCAATGGCGATCATAATGACAGTGTTAAAAAAGTCGACATTCTTAAAGTATCGAATGAATATTGGGCATTCCTAGATATTCGAACAAAAAGCAATGTTGGCAGGAATGCCGTGGCCGAGTTTGTCATAAAATTAATATCGCGATCGCAATAATCACGACAAAGTGTATTTTTATTCGCATAAACTTTTATTAATAAACTCGCCAGGTAGCTAGGTATATTTCAATTATATCAATGGCGCTATAAATGTAACTCGTTGGCTCGGACGTTCTTGGTGAGATCGGTGACGCGATGTTGTGGTACACGGGGATGTTGGGACCGAGAGGAGCCGGTGGCGCCGACGTCGTCGTCGTCGTCGTCGTCGTCGTCGGTAGCGGTGGTGGTAGCCGGCCGCAGCTGCGGTGGTGGCAGCAGCGCAGGAAAGGCTCGCGAGAGAGAGGCGAAAGATGTATAGAAAATCTGGCGGCGGGCTGGGCGTCGCGGGGCGGTGAATGACGTCACGTTGCTAAAGCGACGCAGCAACGCGAGGCGTCTGCGTGGGTCGGTTGGTGTCTGGGGGTCCGGGATCAATAGCGCCAGCAACCAGGTAGTAGGTATGGGTGCATGTAGCTTTCTCCACGGTGGCAGTCCAGGAGACGAACCTCGCGAGGTAGGACACTTTACGAGTCGAGCGAGAGAGAGATAGAGAGAGCGAGAGCGAGCGAGAAAGAAAGAGAGAAAGCGAGAGAGAGAGACAGTTAGATAGACAGAGAGAGAGAGAGGGAGAGAGTTCGGCGGCCTGTTAGTGTCGTGCCGGAGAAGAGCGGCGCTATGCCAGCAGTAATCGAGCGCAGCAGCGGGGTGTCCAGCGTCTAGGACTGTCAGCCTCTCCAGGTAAGGGTCCAGCGACAGCCTCCGTCCTGTCAACGGCAACGTGCCGTTGGCCGCGAGCGCGGCGCGCGAACTCTCTTCCGGATTTCGGTCCCCGCGGTGCGACGTCCGCGCGAGAGAATCGCGTCTCGGGGAATCCCCGGGACTCCCGCGGGACTCTCGGGAGTGGAGAACGAGTTGAATGGGCGCGCGATAGGTCGTTTTGTTGTAGGCCGATCGAGGCGGCGTGTAAGATCCAAGTGGCAGCGGACTGCGAAGAGGTAGATAGATAAATAGACAGATAAAGTAAAAGGGAGAGAGAAAAGAAAAGAAATAGTAAATGCGAGAGAAGGCTCGCGGGGACAAGTGCAGAGATAGATTGGCGAATAGATTGGATAAGTATGCACGCACGCACGCATGCAGTTCGGTGGGTGACACGGGATGGACGGGTAGAGGTTGATAGATGGACCGATGGACCCGATGGGCGGATCGACGGCAACGCCGAAACGGACGGGACGGACAGATAAATATGGGCAATTGGCAGAACGGAAAGACGGATTCGCAGATACGAACGTAACGGAATACGGACGAACGGATTGATGGATCAATCGCCCGAACCACATTGTCGAAGATCGTAAAGGCGAAAAAATTGTATTTCCTCGTAAATCTGACGGCGGATAAATATATCCTATTTTTTTTTAAATTTTTTCGTGTATTTATTTAACTGCAACAGCAAATAACGAATATTCGGGTACTGATCGATCCCTTAAATGTTCACTACATATCTGTATCTGTAAAGCTAAATCGATGATAAAATCAAGAGAAAGAGCGAAGGCGAGCAAAAAGAATGACATTTCGAGATAACGGATATGTACATAATTCTGGGACAGGCTATAAATACTTAGATTTTTATCACGCGCTCTATGCTAATTCCGTTTTTCCACCAGATTTCGCGTAATGATAAGCATGACGTATGTACATTTCGCCATTAAGGTTGCATCAAGATTGATAAATTGCAGGGATGTGTCAAATATACGATGCCATTAAACTGCGGCGCGGATGCATTTTCGAGCGCTTTATTTACCCTCCATCAAATTGGCTTTTACCAATCGATGACTGATCGCGTTGATGATCCCTGATTTTGTGCGATAAGCTAATCTGTCGCGGATGAAATCCACGTATTCATTTAGGGCATCACTCCGCGATAATGACGAAAGAGATAGAAATGCGGACGGCAAACTAACTCGGGGAGGAGACCAGTACGTGTCGTAAATCGTTCGCCTGCCCCTCTCCGCTAATCTACCTGCATGCTCTTCTTCTTTTGTCGCCATTTGTCAGCACCGGTTACCTAAATTATGAGTTATGGTGTCCGCGCGTGGTCTATTCATGTAGCTTCGGTATGAAGATAGGGTCTATTAGATCTCTACAGAGGAGATCGATATACATTCTTAATACACTCGCGGCAAATCTTACACTCTGACACTCGAAGCGATTGGAAAACATTTATTTCAATTACTTACATAGATTGCTGCAAGTTTTTCATAGCTCTTCTTCCTGTCGCGCGAATCTCTGCGAAGAATACGACTCTGCCTCAGAATGTTCTTTTCCAACGTTTTTTTTCCGAACGACGATAATTCAGTTTCGGTAATATTTTAGATATCATGAATTACCAATAAAACTGGCAGAAGCCGCTCGTTATTGCGCCCGCTGGCAAAATGCTAATCCGTTAACGATACGTGTTAGCGAAGCGAGGGTAATGCGATAACGAACGGAGATATTGCGCGGCGATAAGGGTGGGCTCTTGTTGTGCCTTCCCCCGATGCCGCGAACGCGACATTGACATTGCTGATACTGAAAAGGACCTCTTGTTACGTACTTGTCTGCTCATGCACTTGTTTGCCTTTCGCGTATGGACCTCGTTAGCCGCAATCACGCTTAATCCATTCTCCTCCCGCGTCCCGCCATCCAGGATGGAGTCCACGAAAATCGCGGTGACGTACTCCGTCGTACATATATCGCGCTCGTCAATTACGGATGATTTAAACAAAGAGGCCATGCGTAGTATATTAATACTTCGACGGAAATCATGAAAATAACGAAGATTGATGCATCGAACGTGCAGCAAATATTTGCACCAAGATTCATCCACGGATTTAAAGACGTTTAATTCTCTTCTCAGTTCCGAGACAGTCACGCGGTTAAAAAAAAAGTATTTAAACGGAGATAAATCTTTGCTTAGGTAAGATAGATTGCGCCTTGCGTATCTTTTTGCAAACCTCTAGATATTTTTTTAATTAAAATTCAAAATTATGCGCATATCTGAACAACAATGTACAGGAGAAAGGGTGTAGGAGCGAGGAATTGACCGCGAAGCATTCAAACAGCCGATTAAGGTCTCTCAAGTGCTCGGAATCTGTGGATATCCCGGGGCTTGAGGCTTCGGGGTCGGGTCGGCTGTAACGCGGGTCGGGTTTGGGTCACGGTACTCGAAACTTTCGGGTTACCCGGCAATATTGCCGACGGACGTCGCCCGGGGCACCCACGATATTCCGTGCTGTGTGCTCTCTTAAAACACCCGTGGATTCTCGGCGAATCGTTGCGCGATTATTCCGTGGGCGTTCCAGCCGCTCGCGAAATATATATCTCGCGATATACGGTATTGTGCGTAGAATCGCCGGGGTATATTTAAGTTCCGGTGCGGACACGTGCGGAGAAGAAATTTCCCACACGATCGCTTACTTACATATCCATTAGAATTCCACGTTTACCCGATGAAAATAGGCCACGTGTGCGTATCTTGGCATCGATTCAATTCTTAAATGTAACGCGCGACCACTTTTACCAGCTTCCACCTTGATTCACGGCCGGGGCGGGCGTCCAATTCGTAATTATCATTGAGTTAGCTCTTCAAATGAGTAAATAGACGGGACGGACAGGCGAATAGATCCCGTCATTCATTCGACGGACCTCGAAGAGAAGTCGTATCCGACACTCGGCTCTCAGTGACACGCAAACAGCGATCAGCATCGCTCCGATTCTTCTTTACGTTGAAACCCAATCGTGCTGTACCTATACTCGTGTAGAGAGAGAGAGAAAGAGAGAGTGTGTGTATCTTCTCCTACACGTATAATCAATTTAATTTCGCGAGACAATTGATACTCTTGTGCGGTACGGGCAAAGGAGCATATCGGTCCTCGCTGCACTTTGATCCACATACACACACGTCACCTTAATTCGATCAATCATCGGGAAGTTGCTGAGACATGGTAAATGGAGGCATCCCCGGCTTTGTACTTCGGCTCGTCGGGCTTCTCCGCTATTAAATATCGCGAGTACGATATCGCAATTAACTCGGTCTAGTTTGGAAACAACATCAGTCGAGCTCGCGTAAAATCAACAAAATTTAACGGGATGTAATTCCAAACGGATAGATTTTCGTCATTTTTGCAAGAAATAGGCGAGCGTGTCGACTTTCTTTTTTTTTTTACTTGGCGCCATGCCGATAACGTAAATAAAAATGAGTCTAAATGAAGACGAGGATATCACGGACCGCGGGGGAGTAATTATGTAGATTGCATCGGTGCGGTGTGAGATATAAGTTTAATCATCGCTAATGCGAGTCCGCGTACAGGGATTCGTTCCGCAGCTCACCGCAGAATTTTTGTGAAGGTGTGTGCATCTTGTTCGGTTGCAGGCCGGCGCAATGTGGCCTGGAGCACTACCGTTACTGCTGTTACTAGCGGTCCTGCTGCATCCATCGAGGTAGGTTGTTTTATTGACGGACGTACGGAAACGCGTGTCAATTTATCGCTGGCAGTTTCTTAGACAAGTCTTGATTGCGCTCAGTCAACTGTCGCCTGAATTAATAATAAAACAGTTACGCTCTCTTGGAACGACGTCAAGTCAGGATTCCGTGGGAAGGTCTCCGACGATAGAAACATAATTCTGGGAAAGACACTACGAGCGGTGACTCGTAAAGACGGTGTGTTATTGACCCACAGAATTTTTGTTATGGTGCATAAAGTTTATACGGAAAGTTTATGAGCGGACCAACGTGCGCCGCATCCGAAATTTTGTATGCCCGGACGTACGAGTGGAATCGCGAACGAAAATAGAATTTGTTAAAACAATTTTTAAAAAATTTAGAAGGATTGCGTGCATTCCTCGCGACAACGTGTACATTTTTTAAAATCCACTTTAAACTATTCCTATAATTCCGCGTCGGTGACGCGATAAGGATTTAGGATAAAATTATATTTATGAAACTTTGTGTGTCATATGATACAAAAAATATTTAAAAAATCTGATGAACGCACATATATAAAATATCTAATTAAGATACCCGATAAAATTACAAATAGAATTTCATTCTGAATTCCATTCTTGACGCGAAATTATAAATTATTTAAAACGTTCGGATACGTTCTTCATATTTTTATAAATGTTTATCTATTTATGGCAACAAAACTAGGACACTAGGAGATTTTCTTTTCAGAAATTAGGTTTCTTTTTCTTTATTGTATCGACGATGCCGTTGGTATGTTCTTCCAGATGTACGCAGGGAGGAAAAGTGAATTTTCGGGAGAAGGAGAAGCAGGTGCTCGACAACATCCTAGGACCAGGCCGTTACGATGCGCGCATCCGGCCGAGCGGGGAAAACGGAACAGGTGAATATAGAGATTCTTGCGAGTCCTTATTTACTCCCTCTGCCCATCCTCACCATGTACCGTAATTTTGTACCGACATCTCGCGGCAAATCAGCCGAGAAGTGTGAACGTATAGGGTGGAAAAAGAAAATAAAAAAGCGGGAAGAAATACAGAGGAAACGGGGCAACGGAGAGATGTACACGCACGTTCCGGCGAGAAAGGCTTAAGCCTCACCGAGTGCGGAGAATTGAATGCGCGTTGCAAACACGATCTACATTGTCGTTAATGCGACGCAGACGACGAGCGCGCGAGTTCATTGACAATATATGATATACATAACGTACGTATGTACATATATATGTATATTTATATATTGTATATGTATGCAATATATACATATATAGCGCATGTATAATATATGTATATATGTATTATATAATAAGCGAGCGAGATGAATTGCGAGAATTTTCCGCACGTCCGTACCGAGTGAATGCGTACCGAGCGGTGAGAAATTTTTTCATAAACTTGGCGAATGCGAGCGGCGTACTGAGTGGTATCGCGTTCAGAAGCGAGCCACGATCGGTCTCGCGAAGTACCGGGGCTTGCCTTCGCGATATTATATTCTTGCGACTGTCTCTCGGATACGTCATATATTATTTCTTCCTTTAGCGCGCGGTATTACTTTCTCCTACTATAACTCGGCAAAAATGTGCGAGTATATTAAGAGATTCGCACAATCTGGCGATACAAATTTTTCTTTATTAGAAATTTATGATTTTTTTTTTATATATTACAAAGAGCGGGAAAAAATATATATTTTACGTATAAATTTTCATTCAGACCGATCTGTTTTCTGACAAAGAAAGATAAGTCAAATCTCAGGATGAGAGCGCTTCGCGCGATGATCTCACGACAATGATAATACCGCTTTTCACGTATTCATTTCGGAGTAGGTATCTCCGAACAACGTGTTCGCGAAACGATGCGTAGTTCGACCGAAATTGTCTTCCAATCTTCTTCACATTACGCGCAGAAAGGTGTATCGATTACTTACCTTCTTTTCTTTTTTCCTTTTTTTTTGCGATGCGGCAATTTCGAGCCACGACACGGCGAGTGGGTCGGAATGATGGAATTTCGTCGATATCGATCGCCAACCCGTATCGCGATTTCTGCAGTCAACGGGTCGAACGGAAGGCAATTCGAGGTACTTTCGGCGTGATAAATAAACGAGGCCAAGTAGAGAAATGCGAACGTTGCCTCGTATCAGCGAGGGAGACGACGTCTTCTTGATCCAACCGCGTTTCGAACCGAAACCGTATCGAAATTCGTATCGAGACCGATTATAGTTTTTTTTTTTCAGCTGTATGATCAACGATAATCAGACAGAAAATTAATTAAATATTACTCGCTCGTGTGTTTATTACGTTTGAATGTTAAAAGTAACGTTACAAATTGTCGTTAAATCGGTTGCCAAGAAGAATCCGTAAAGCATATCTTTTTGTATGCTCGCAACACTTTGTGTTGTAACATCCGCGAAATTTTCTCCCATCGTATCAAATTACCTTTCTCCGAAGTCTTTTACTTTGCGAAATACGATACAACACGTAACGTCTGTTTATGTGTTAAAGAACCAAATAATGCTGCCTGATGACAATTTTCAGTACAATACCAATTTATTGTTTGTAGAACAAAAGGTTAAATTTACAAATGACAAATTTGAGAAAGTATATATAGTTACAATTTACACAAAAATCTTCAGCGACGACGCAATCGACGTTGCCAAGCTGCTAGAATTGAAATCACGATGGAATTGTAAGCCCCCTTGCAAGCAGGTGGTGAAAGAGGGATTAAGTAAATCGCATCGAGCGCAATTACGTGTCGCAGTTAAACGAATACGGTCGGTATACTCTCTAAGCACGTGTCTACTGTAGGTGAATGTACCCTGTATCGCTTTAAAGCTCGGAAGAACACGATTTATGTGATTTCTTTATCACCTGTTTATTATAGGCGTGTCGCGCGGTAATAAAGGGGTCTTTAATCGCTTTTCCCGCGAGTCTACGGGGCCGCAGGCATCCGCATTTCGCGTTCACCTATATTTATCCGACTTTAGCGGCGCTTTAAAAGTCGGATCGCGTGCCTCGGGGGTAAACGACACTCGTTAATTTTATCGTTCGAGTATCAGAGCCGTGAGTGCGCGCCCGTCGCTCCGTGAGTTTTTGCCATCGCCGGGTGCGATGGAAGGGCGAAAATTCATAGCGCTTCGTGCACGGCCGCCACTTCTGAACTGGCTGGGAGAAGAACATCGTTTCAAGATTGCGCATCCGAGGCGATGCAATTGGATACGATGCGATGTGATATGATGCGATGCGATGCGATGCGATGCGATGTGATGCGATGCGAGGATATTAATACGCTGTCGAGTATCCTAGTATACCCGTGCCCCTCCGGGCGTAATTTGGAGATAGTCGTATGTCTTTCGATCGATCGATCGCGCATTCGTAATTTCGCCCCGTCCGTAATCACGGTCGGTTTATCGTCGATGACGTCGCGTGGAGTTAATCGACCATGAGATCGACAAACGCGCCACGTATGACGCGTTCGAGCCCAGCGTCATGCACTCTCGATCGTCATTCTCCTTCGCTCTTAATCAAACAGGCGAGGAGCGAGCGCTGACGTATTTGTTTCATCCTCATTCTTGTACCCTACGTCATCAAAAATAAGGAAATTATCCAAATTTTACAGATACTTTTACATATTTTCCATGATCTCTCTACAGTACACTCGCATATCTCCCAACGCATTGGGGATTACATTAGGCGCTGCGTACAATGAAAGGAATAGGGAACAGTTCAATATTAATATATGAAATTCATTAACATATGTAATTTATTAACACAGAATAGACGAACAGAGGAATAGCGCTGAGAAACAGTGATGGAATTTTTTTCTATTTCTGTATGCCACATGCACAATGAATATGTTTATAACATATTCATTTATAGCATGCACAATGAATATGTTTATAACATATTCATTTACAGCATATGGCATACAGAAATAGAATAAAATTTCATCACGGCTTCTTAGCGCTATTCCTCTGTTCGTTTATTCTGTGTTAATAAATTACATATGTTAATGAATTTCATATATTAATATTGAGAACTGTTCCCTATTTCCTGTTCCCTATTTCTTTTATTGTGCGCAGCCCTTTAGAGTTATGACTATAACTCGGAATTATTAAACCGTTAATACCGCTAAGTCAAAAAAATTGTATTTGCAATTTTTGCAGTTTTACAATTTTAGTATTACGCGGTAAGAAAACAGTCCCGCTAAACCAAAAAAGATATCTGCAATTTTTGTCAATTTTCCGACTCGATGTTATAAGGTCGTTCTTACGCTACGAGTTGCGCCGCTGGTGTCATTAATATGACTCCGACGGCCGAATTCGTAGCGTAAGACCGACCAAATTTGCGACATTTTAGCTAAAGAAATGGAAATAGATCGTTCGAAAATCGTGCGTTTCCATAAATCTTTTTGGTAGCGCTGGGTAGCGATAGATCTGTTATTCATGGGTCTGCGGAATTTATATTTGCGCTCGACATAACAATTAACATGCTGCAATATGTAATGGCATAATGAATGACGTGGTCCCAATATCGATCAAACACACTATTCTCGTTCGCATTGTCCGCCGGCGCAGTCGATTTATATTACAATCTTGATGAACTGTTGTCGTTCAATCTTTCGCCCAGCAATGTTTTGCATTAGTTATATCTGCGGTACCTAATTTGCCGTAGACGGACAGAAACTCATTATTGATTGCGTGGGCAAGTAAAACCGAAAAATAATTATGGAAGGCTTTTTACATACTCTCCTGGTCTCAATCACATGCGAGGGGTAATTGATTTAGATTATTTAGAAGATACTCGAATCTTTCCCGAAAAAGGAACTTTACCTTCTTCCGGTATAAATTATGTAAAGCCCGCACTCAAGATTCGCACATCTGCTAAGTTAGATTGATAAAATTGGTTCTCTTAACAAAATTTGTATTGGAAAATTAAAATATTGATTTTTTTATTTTTGGCATTAAGTATCTCTTTGCTTAAGAATCATATCTGAACAGATACCTGAATTTTATTCGAGAGAAGTTATTACTACCTTGTTTGATCAAAGAATCTCGCTATGTAATGCGAGTAATAGAATGCGAATGTTTGGCACGCAAAACTTGATCCTTATATCTAAACAAATAAATCGTAAAATATTTTGATTAACTTCCTACTATGACCATGTTTTTGTGATCGCGCCAAAAAGGCAACTCTTGGCTCGCCTCACGTAAATTAAGCTAAGCAAACGAAGATGTGTAGTAGGAAGATGTTGCTATTAAACGCCAGTTGCCGTTTGAGATAGGATCTGGTCTCTAGCTGGAACGAGCACAATGGCGGGTCGCCGCATTAGAGAGAGCATTACGCTATCCATATACCTATATCCTTTGTGGCTGTGAATTAACTGTATCTTACGCGCGGCTCTCCTCTTCCGTCTGCAAAACGGCCCGCAAATCTGGGCTGAATACTAACTACCGTATGCGGCGGTAAACGAGCGTAAGTGACTTGAAGAAGATTCATAACTGGATATAGAGGGCGAAAAGAAGGGAAATACGTGAGCGTGAAAACGCTGGTAGAACTGCGGGGGAAATTTTGTTGCCGAATTATATGAACTACTAGATAATTAATCACGCCAGTCTGTCACGCGGTTAAGCTCGCTACAGTGAAAGAGAAGGAATTCGTCTTTTCAATCATATCCATATAAAGCTGGTCTAGATACGCCAATCATGCGCGTATAAATGCACGAAATGAATGAAATGTCAAGGAAACCGGCGAATGTTGTCGTGTACAAATGAAATTTTGCATCGGGGTTAAAATAATGAATGAAGATTGAATATCACCCTTAACGAGCCATCAAGGGGCTCATATTACTCGGTGATTGAATGCAAACTTTTACATAAAAGTCGTGTTAAAAGCTT